ATCACTGGGGACAACAAGAAAGGAAACTGTCTGCCAGACACTGAAACCACAGATGGTGAGAAACCTTCGAACCTTTCTAGGAATGACAGGTCGGTGTTGTTTATAGATATATCAGTATGGGCTAATTGCAAAGCCTTTATATGACCTGCTGAAAATGACTAAGAGCAACCTCATCTGGACCCCCGAAGCAAGTGGAGCCTTCAAACAACTGAGGTGAGAACTCATAAGGACTCCGGCGCTGGGATTGCCTGACATAAGGAAGCCCTTTTGGTTGTTCTTGCAGAATGGCTCTGGGGGTCCTGGCTCAGCAACAAGGGCCATACAAAAGAACAGTAGCCTACTTCTCCAAGCAATTGGATGAAGTAAGCAAATGATGGCCCACCTGCCTAAGGGCAGTAGCAACAATGATCATAAATATAGAAGAAGCCAGGAAATGTACAATGGGACAGAAAATGACTGTGTTAGTGTCCCACACAGCATCTACAGTACTGGAAGAGAAAGGAAATCATTGGCTGTCACCCTCCCAATTTCTGAAATATCAGGTAATCCTGGCTGATTCAGATGATATAACCATTCAGGTGACTAACATTGTTAACCCAGCTTCATTCCTAGAAGGAAGAATCTTGGCTGCACCTGTCATGCAGGACTGCCTGGAAACCATCGAAGCAGTGCACTCCAGCTGCCTGGACCTTAAAGAAGAACCACCCCTGGATGCAGATGACTGGTTTACCGATGGCAGCAGTTTCATAAGACAAGGTGTGAAGATGGCTGGGTATGCTGCGACCACCACTACTGAGGTAATCAAATCAAATCCTTTGCCTGCAGGAACCTCAGTCCAGAAAGCAGAACTGATGGCTCTCATTCGAGCTTTAGGATTGGCAGAAGGAAAACAAATTAACACCTGGACTGACTCCAAATATGCCTTTGGCATAGTTCACGCTCATGGAGCAATTTGGAAAGAAAGAGGACTTTTAACTCTTCAAGGAAAAGTTGTGAAATATGCTGAAGAAACTCTACAATTATTAGAAGCTGTACAACTCTCTTCTCAGGTGGCAATTATGCACTGCCAAGGACACCTGAAAGGTAACACTGTCCTGGAAATAAGAAACAGAAAAACTGATGCAGAAGCTGAATTAGCTGCTGCAAGAAGTAAAGAACTACCAGTAGCAGCTTTAGTGCTAGAAGAACTAGACACAGATCAACAGGTAGAATATCAAGAAACAGATTATAAGTGGATACATGAAAATGAAGGTAAGGTGTTAGACAATAGATGAGGTTAACTAAAAACAGGTCAGTTAATACTGTTAGAAAAATTAGTGTGGCAATTTGTAAAAGTAAAACATGATAAAACTAATGGGGCTTAGACTCACTCTATTAGCATTTAAGGACTAGAGTAGCAGGACCAAATTTATTTACCACAATAGAGCAAGTCACATCCCAATGTGAACTTTGTCTGAAATACTGGAACAAAAATACACCAAAGGGCAATAAGTAAAGGGCAATAAGTAAAGGACATTTCCCAGGTGAAATTTGACAAATTAATTTCTCTGAGCTCCCAAGAAAAGGGGGGGTCCTGTTATCTCTTAGTTTTGATTGACACATTTTCTGGATGGCCTGAAGCTCAGCCCATGTAGAAAAAATGAATCAAAAAGAGTGGTTAAAGTCTTGTTGAATGAGATTATACCACTGTTTGGAATGCCTAAGAGCATTTCTTCAGATAGAGGTTCACACTTTTGTGCATGAATTGTACAAGCAATAAGCAAAGCACTAAAAATCAATTGGCAACTGCATATGCCCTACAGACTCCAAGCAAATGGGCAAGTAGAAAAGATGAATCTAAAATATGTCAAGAAACAAATTTTCATTGGTATCAAGCTTTACCTATTGCTTTAATCAGGCTAAGGGTCAAGCCAAGAACAAAAGAGAAACTGAGTCCATTTGAAATTCTATTGGGCAGACCCTACATGATGCAAACTGTGAATAGTGAAGCTGTAGATCAAATCAGTAATCAATATGTGTATGATTATGATATGGCTGTAGGAAAACAATTGCAGAAAAATGCTACAGTGGTGTTAGAACACCAACCCAAGCAGCCTGATTGTGAGTTACATCCATTCAATCCTGGTGATCGGGTACATGTTAAGAATCTTTCAGGAGATCCACCACAAGAGAAGTGGGATGGACCCTACCAGGTGTTGATGACCACCTCCACACGATCCGGGTGAAAGAGGAACCCACGTGGATCCACTGCTCTCGAGTCAAGAGGGTTCTGGAGGAAGCATGGACCTCGGGAGAGGAATCATCTACTATCAAGCCTCCTCAGTGCTGATCTTTGGACTGATAAGTACACTGGTGTTAGATCAAGCCCTTACCCAAAAATCATTATGGTCTCAGGTCTATAATGGGAGTTCTAGTCTATGATTTGCTATAAATACAGATATTCTGAATCCATCTGAACTGAACCAATACAATGCATCTATTATAGTCCTCCAAGGAATGAGGGTGCTGAATAATTGGTAAAATCCTGGTACCCTATACGATGCAAGTGTTTTAATAGGCAGATTAGATGGTCACCCAAAATTGATATTATTGTACAGGACTCTGTGAAAGTATTTCTTACCTACCCGTTTGACTACAGAAATGTAATTAGTGGACATGCATGTGATTCTGATCAATGTTGGCACACCTTCACTCTAGATAAATCAGTTTCTGTGATGTGTCACTGGACATTCAGGGAAGGAAATATAACCAGGAGATTTATAATTAATGCTTCCAACTACCAAATCTCCTACCACCCCATTGACTAAGACCACCACCAGTTCTACAACTCCTTCTTTAACCTGTGAGAGTGTCCACAATTTAACTTATGCTGGACCTTACATGATTAGACACTCAAATGAGCAGAAGCTGTTGTTAGATCCCACATATTCACTGAAGAGGGTTCGAATAAACCTTCAAGTAAACATATCAAGTATACAAAAAGATTGTCAGCCCTGTATTCAACAAAGCCTTAAAGGCTGGTATGCATGGATGATGGCCAGATCCCCTCGTACCAGAATTCAAAGAGATGTAACCGGATGGTTTGGCACAGGATTAAGTGTATTAAACACCATAGACCAAGAAGTATTAGTGAATAAACTAAGTGCTGTCACATCTGATCTAGGAAAATTCAAAGTCCCTTTAAGATCATCTTTGCTCATTTTGGCAGAAACACAATCATTGGCAGTTAAATTGTTAACATTAGTAGCTAACCACACTGCAAAGGATTTCACCAAAATTATTCACTATGCTGGTGTCATCCCATAAAAGGTTTGCATTTGCAATACAATGTCTCCAAACTCAACAGTGGGTACAATCTGTAGCAGCAGGAATATTAAGAGAAGGAACTTCAGGAATATTACCACAAGAGGTAAGAGAAATAATAGCTAGAAACAGTTCTACTACACAATTTGAGAAAAATTACCAGGCGTGGTGGCATTTAGTGAACTTCACTTACAACCCTCAACATGAGCACATTGAAGCTTATGTACTCACTATCAGTGCAGCCAAAGAAAAGACCATCTTTCCTATCCTAACATTAGGAGCCATACACCAAAACGTAATTGTCAGACCCATAGACCATAATGTTTGGGCAAGTTATGATCACACCAAGAAAAAGTAGCAGTCAGTCAGTACTGAGGCATGTATTCCTAAAGGACAATTAGGATATATCTGTGAAAATGCTGTAGTAGGAAATGAGGATTTATGCTTAGATGCTGAAGATAGTGTGTGTGTATCTTTGAAATGCTTCACCATACTAAAACCCAATCACAAGTCTATTATGTAGGAAATGGTTGTGCATGTGTTAGAATCTTTTGTGTTAATTTTACCATAGGTATTTGTCATGAAGTAGTGAGTGGTACTAATTTTTTTGTTTTACTAAAATAATAGGCTGTGACTTTGATTATAACATTCTAGTGACTACTAGACAACTGATTGAAGCTGATTATACAATGTATCATGATGTGCCAAAATTGCAGATAGGAGTGAACATTAATCTTTTTAAAGCAATGCTTAAACATCCTGATATAGAAAAACTGGTCCGGGAAGTAAACAGAACGACTAAACGAATGCTCTGGCAAGTAGAATATGACACTGAGAGCATAAAAGCTGTTCTAACCAAAGTGGAAAAAGTGGGAGAGCACCACTGGTGGGACATCTTTACAGGATAATCCCCTACAGCATCACAAGTGTTCCACTATTTGATACATCCAATATTGGTATTAGCAGCTGGCATGATTCTATTACTGGTCTTAACTGTTTGGCTATGGTACAAATCAAGCATCATGGTCAGAAGGATGCAGATAATGTGAGCTGTGATGAATAGCTATCAAAATCCATTGGAACTTGACGAAGGAATTCGTAAATTTTAAACAAAGAGGGGGGAATGAAACAGGAGGCTAGGCCCAAAAGAGTTAACTAAGAAATTTGGGCCTGCTAACAAGCTACCAACATCCAAGACGATCTGTGCTCGTTCTGTTCTACTGACTGGACCCAAAGCTTCAGAGAATAGTACAAGAACATGTAATAGGCCTAGAAGCAATAAATTAGAAATATAGCAGGATCAGGTAGACATTTGAATAGGAGAAATAGGCCTGGAGCCAGGGTTTTTTCCAAGCTTCAGTGAGCGGGTCAAGAACAATGGAAGAGAAGAAAGGTCAGGCTGAAGAAGATGAGTTTAAGCCCCCAGACCCACCAAAATTGAGGGCCAAGAGAAGCACCGCCCCAAGCCCCGCCTGAGCTCAGCCTGTACTCCGCCTATTATTAATATGCATAGATAGATGTCGTAATCACTTGAATATGCATTTAATCACATCTGAAAATTGTATAAAAATGTTGATTTTCTGAGGAGCCAGCAAGCAAGTTTGTCCAGCGCGAGCTGGTTTGCTCCCAACGTTGAATAAACAAATACCTTGTTGCTTAAAGATAAAAAAGTCTCTGAGCAGTTTCTCGGACCGATTTTTTGGATTCAGGACAGCCTGCAATGGCTCCTCTGTTGAGGAGAACCATCCTTTGGCTGCTGAATGAGTCAAGGCTGGAAATTGCAGCAAAGCAGGTGAGGGCAGCTGAGGGCTGTCACAGCGAGTGGGGACAGGGAGACAGTGAAATACTGCGGGAGGTGACATCCCTGTGACACTGAACCTACAGGAGAACGGGCACATCAGCAAGGACAAGGATTGTGGGATTGCACTTCCCAGCAGAGCTGCAGGTGGGTGCAGAGCTCTTCACTGCTTCCTTGCTCCCCACAGAGGGTTTGTGTTGAGGAGTTGGCTGCCAGTCTGGGGGAGACGATGCTGTAACATGTACATCTCATCCCTTGTGACTGGTGAAACTTTCTCTTGGCAGCCACTACAGTCTTATGTATGATTTCCTGCATCTGCTCGGGCATAAAGACCAATGCCATCGGTGGAATTTTAATATTTTTGATCGTCAGGCAGTTTATACAGCACCCAGACCTGCTGTTTGCAAACAGAGGAGGGTTGGTGAGAGATGTGCTGATCAAAGGCCATCTGGAGCACAGCAACCATGAAATGTTAGAGTTTTCCACACTTGGGGAAATAAGGGGGAGCATCAACCAAACCTGTACCCTCGACTTCTGGAGGTTGGACTTGGGCCTGTTGAGGACACCGATTCGGAAAGCCCCTTGGAAAGCAGCCCTTTGAAACAAGGGGGCCCAGGAAGGCGGGACATGGTTTGAGAAAGAAATCTTGGAGGTGCAGGAGCGGCCCCTGCTGGCCCCGGCCGGCGCTGTGCCCCCGGCCCCGCCCGGCCCCGCCCGCGGCGGTTCGTGCCCGGCCGCAGCCCCGGCTCCTCTGGCCGTGTCTGCCACGGCGCAGTAATACACCGCCGCGTCCCCAACACGGGGCCCGGAGAGACAGAGGGTGCTCCAGCGACGGTCTGGCGACACCGACACCTGACCCGCCTTGTCCGGTAGATCTTTGGAGCCTTTGTGAAAGCTCACGAGGAATTCGGGGCCTCGGCCCCGGAGCTGACGGTACCAGTGGATATAGTCACTGGTCCGTATGGTCGGGTGTGAGCAGTTGATGGTGATTTCCGTGCCCTCGGGGGTTTGTGCCAACGGCTCCTGCTGCACCTGGGCTCTGCCCGCAGCCACTGCCAGAGAGACAAAGAAGAAAAATATCAGAATTTCTTTTTGTCCTGTGAGTTGTTTCTCAGAAGAAATCCTGCAGAAGCAGTCAGGGACATACAGAGATGATGAGGAGAAGAGTATCCAGAGGATGTCAACATGTGCAGTAATAGAAATGTCAATCACTAGTGGAGACATGACTGTGTGAATAATAGGCAAAAGAAAGAAAGAAAGACAGAGAGGAAAGGAAGGTGCAGTGATAGTTGGACAAAGAAGAGAGGCGTGAATTCTCTGAGGGAATGTGGGATGGTGTAGAGTGAGGGATGGATGGGAGGATGATTCAGGGACAGAGGTCTGTGAAGAAGCCAGAGGGGACGGCATCTTCCAGAGACCTGCGCGGCCACCCCAGCCCCAGCCCCGACCCCCACGGTCCCCCGCCGCCAGCCCCGCGCACCGAGCAGCACCGCGGCCAGCGCCGCCAGCCCCGCGCCCCGCCAGCGCCGCATCCCGCCGCTCCGCCGCCCGCGCCTCGCTGCCCCCGCCAGCCCCGGCTCTCGGCTCCGGACGGGCCGCCTCCCCTGCCATCCCCTCCCATTCTCCCTCCTCTGCCCTCCTCCGCCAGCTCCGCCCCGGCCCGGGCTCAGCCCCCTCCTCGCACAGCACCAGCACAAGCAGCGGCACAAATCCCTTTGGCATTGCCAGCCACAGCACACAGCTGGGGGCCAGCCCAGACACCACCCACACGCCATCGGAAGCACATCCACTCCGGGACTGGCAGCACACGGTCGGCGCCATTCAGGAGCCTCTCTCCCTGCCCACCAGGCAAACCTGCCCCTCCTCACCTCTGCAGCGCTGCTGAGAGCAGCAGCCTCACGGCTGGGGAGGGGGCACGGGGGGCTGCCAGGCGTGCTGAGGCACTGCCAGTGTTGCTTACACTGAGGTCAACTCAGCATCCAAGCTGCAGTGAAACCGGCCTTGTTGGGCCGAAATCAGCAGCAGCGGAGCGAGAGCTGTGGACGGACAGGAAGAGAAGGGCTCCGGAGGCAGAACCTGCATTTCTCTGCCTCTTCCCTGGACACAGCTGTAGGGGGCAGGTGCCGTCAGCACTCAGCTGCACCCACGCGCCTTCTGACCCTGACAACCTGCTGCTCTGTGGAGTTCAGGGCCAGAGCAGAGGACGGTATCCCTGGAATAGGCAGCAAATGAACTTCCCATGAGGGACACAGACGGACACACATGGACACACATGGACACACACGGACACACACGGACACACACACACACACACACTCACACACAGAGGCTCGTACACACCAGTGTGGAATCACACACAGATTTGTGCCCCCACATGTGTCCGTGCCAACCCGGCTGCTCCAAGAGCACACAAGGCAGGAACACACAGTCAGCCGTGGACTCTGCTGAGGACACCTGAGGTCAAAAGCAGCAGAGCTGGAGGATCGAGAGGAAGGACAAGGTGCCAGGCAAGCACAGGGCAGTCTGTGTTTACTCAGAGACTGCACAAAGTGGAGATGAGACAAAATAGTGCAGAGCACTTTCCTGAGGGCAGCGTTAGGCAGGACAGAATCAAAACCATCATCTCAGTGCACACCCATGGGGAGGCAACCACAAGTGAGCATCGGGGTGAGCTGAGGAGAGAGAGAAAGACAAGGCAAGGGGACATCATCCCATGCACAACAGCCTATGAGTGTCCAGTTGGGGGTGGCAGAACTTCTTCCTGAGGATGACACCTCAAGTGTCTCCACCAGAGTCACCCAGGCTGATGCATCCCTCTCCTGCTCTGGATCCATCCAGCACTGGAGATGAGTCATGTGCCTGCACTGCTGCATTCCTGCTGCAAAATCCTGGGGCCTTTCATCCCAGGGCTAAGCCCTCACTGGGGAATGGGCATGGCACAAATATGGGAATGTAAAGGCAGCAGTGCAGGGCATGAGAGCACAGCCCATAGCACTCGGTGTGGTGGTTGGCATGCAAGATGAGCTTGTGGGGAAATTGTTAGCTCTGCAGAGGCTGCCCCTGGTTGTGTGGCAGTGAAGGGCAGGTATAAAAGGCAGCCCAACTTCCTGCTCTCTCCTCCACTTCTCCTCTGCCACACAGCAACTGGACGTTTTCATTGGGCACTTCTGAGCACTTTCAGAAATTGTTGGAGTCATGCAATTCAAGGAAGGAGCATTGCAGATAACGTCTTATTTATGTTTTTCACCCTACTTTGAACTCGGAACTCTGAGGGACACAACCCAGAGCAGGTACTCTAAGGGACAAGCCCAGTGGAAACCCTGGAGAAGCCACGGGCAGCAGGGAAAAACAGAAAGCCAAGAGCAGCACAAGGAATCGTTGCAGAAGTGGTCTCAGCCTCCTGAATTGCCCAACAACTCCCTGGAGATGTTGGGAAGAAGAACCACGGAACCCATAAGTGACAATGAGCAATCTGGAAATTGTTTCACCTCTTTCTCCTTCCCCTCGACCACTGACACTCTCCTCTCCTGGAAGAGGGGCTCAGCCTGCAGATCTCTGGGTGTACAGGGGAAGCAGCGCTGCCAGGGGACAGCGGAGGGTCCCTTTCCCCAAGCTCAGCCTTGCACAGACACATCCCCTCCCTCCCCTGGCTTGTTGCACAGCCCAGGGAGCTCCCTGCACCAGGGTGTCTCGCACAGCACAGAGGTACAAAGCACTGTCAGAGACCTCCACTTCCTCCACCTGCAGGACACTGTATTTCCCCGTGGTGTTCAGCTCCGTGCTGATACGGCCGCTCTGCCTCTGGCCGGCCCCCGCCTGAGACGAGAGCAGCTGTGGGGCTTGTCCTTTCCTCTGCTGGTACCACAACAATCCATTGAAGTAATTGGTCTGGTATGTACAGGTGGTCTGGAAGAGGCCTTTCTGCTTCACCAGGACTTCTCCATCTTCCTGGGTGACAACGATCTGCCCCATGGTGCCTGGAAGAAAGTGAAGGTCAGCAGCTGCACAGGGAAATACTATGGCAAGATAAAGCAAACTGGATGCTAAACCCTGGTGGAGAAAGCTGCCTGCCCTGTAGGGAAGTCCTGAGACCTGGAGACAGTCAGGTGAGAGTGATTTTGAAAGTGGTTCAGAGCTCTTATCACAGCACGAATCTGAGGAGAGCTGGGCTGTGTCCATGTTCTTGCTCCTCCTGCTCAGAGGAGCAGGGAACAGCCTGTCACGCCTGAACTTTGTGTGCTGGAACCAGCTCCTCACTCCCTGAGGACACAGAATGTTGAGCTTGGAAAGAGGGAGCCCTGGCTGTGTTGCCAAGTGGAGAAAACTGGAAGCTTGTGGCAGCCAGGAGGCAAAATGGGACACCCCGTTGATGTCAGAGAAATGAGAGCTTTAAAGTGCCTGGGGCAGATTTGACAGGATCTGCCAATATGCATCAAAAAAGGAGGGATGTGGGACTGCAAAGAGGAGATCTCCTGTGGGGATAGCAGGGGAATCCAAAGAAAGAGGCAGAGGGAGATGGTTTGAAGGAGAGAGAAGAGACAGAGACGGGTTCTGAGGTTTCCCTTCTCTTTCTTCCCTTTCCCTTTAAAATGATAAAGGATTCTGGAGCAAACACAGGCAAACCGGCAAATATGAGGAGACAATTGACAGCATTTTCCCTCTATTCAATTCAGTAGGTTTTTTTCCCACGGGCTCCTGATAAAGCTGTTGAGGATTTCCTGGGGGGAGAAGAAAGCTGACTGATGAAAAACCAGGACTTACCCAGGAGGTGGCCCAGGCAGACAGTGAGGATGAGACAGCCGAGGTTCATGCTGAGACCAACCTGCCTGTTTGCTGAGAGAGTCAGAAACCACCTCCCAGCCCCGAGATAACAGAGCTGCCAGAACCGACTCTCTAGGGGGAGCAAAAGGAAGAAGGAGGGCAGAGATATTGTCTTTCAGTGCCTGAAATGCTCTCTTTGGGTTTCTCCCTCCCCCAGCAGCAGCCCCTGTGGCTCCCTCAGCCGATGGCATTCTGAGCATTGCCTGGCTCTGGGGCCTCCCTCACGGGCAGGGGCTGTTCCCGGTCAGCTCGCAGGGCAGTCCCCCCTCCCCAGCTGCAATGGCCTGCTCTGCTGCACACCCACTGCTGGGCTTTTGGGAGCTCCGGGGCTTCTTCCCCACTCAGGTTTCACATCTTGCCGTGCTGTCCTCAGCTCTCTGGGCTCGTTGCAGTTCCCTCGGGGAGCACGTGTCTCCTCCCTGTCTGTGGCTTCTCCCCTGTCCTTCTTCATCTCCCTGGGACAAACACCTCTCTCCCAGCTGCCCAGGAACGGGAGATGGGCCCTGCTGGGCAGCAGCCCAGGCTCTCTGGCTGTGCCTTGCTCTGCTGGGGAAATGCACAGTGTGAGAGAGGAACGTGGCTCCAGCAGGGCTGCTGGATGTCCCAGCCCCAGCGGTGGCAAGGACAGCATATTCCCTAGGGAAAGGGCTGAGGGATGAGCAGGGAACAGGAGGAGGGCTCAGGAGGTGATCCCCACGCACAGGCAGGGAGCGCACGGGGCACCCACCAGAGAGCTGCCTGCGAGGGGTGGGGCTGGGACAGCCCTGCCCCACCCATCTGAAAGGGCAGGTGAAGGGCTGCGGGCTTGGCAGATGGACACCCTTACTCCCACCCTGTTACAGTCCGGTCAGGGGCTGCAACGTGGTTCTTTTAGATGATTACTTCCAAGGCGAGATTAAGGCACAAAACTCCACACGTTAGGTCTCAAACAGACAATTTGCTTTATTTGTAACAGTAAGTAATAGGCGAAAACCGGGGCCGGGTGGAAGGGGAGAAGAGGTAGAGATAAGGGAAAGGAAAGTCTACAAAAGGAAAGTGCAAAAAGAGTTACCACCACCAGTGAGAGAACCACCACCAGTGAGAGAACCGGGTGTAGTCAGCCTCAGGCAGTCAGGGAAGGACCGCTGGAGGGAAGCAGGCGGTGAACAGACTGGAACCAAGACAAGACAGGAGACGCGGGCAGGTGGGACACGAGCAGGATGGAGCGAGGAGTGGGGCCAGCAGCCAGCACGGGCCCCTGCTCCGACACCGACTGGACTTAAACGCTGGGCAGTGCCTTAAATACCCCCCGGTGGGTGCTCCCTGGCCAGCTTGGCTCCGGGCAGATCTCTCCACGGTGTCGGTTGGTGAAGCTGCTGCTATCCAGGCTGGCCGGCTCTGCCAAGGCGGGAAAATGGAACACCTTTCTGTTGGAGACTCTCCAGCGGTTCCAGCAAGCAGTCCACAATGTCCTCTAGGTGGATGAAGACAGCCCTGCCAAGAGCTAAAGTCGGTGTCCCCACTTCGTTCGGTCGCTGGGCTCCCGGGGGCTCCTGGTAGCCCGCAAAACTGACCCTTGGCGCGTACCTCAGCCGATGGAAAGAGCCTCGTTAGTGTGAAGTAGTTAATTGCCGCCTGTGCAACTTTAACCGGCTTCCAAGAAGCCTTGCCCAAGGTGTTTAATTGCCCCATTAACACCTCTCGCGCCTGGGCAGAGCGGCCAATTACCAATTGTTTATTGCACGGGTCAATGTAAAAACAAAGACGCGAGTTAGAGACGGAACGATCTCTTACACACCCCTTCTCTAGATCAACTCCAGAGCGATCCCAGGCACGCGGCACACCACAGAAAACATGCTCTTCCTTTTGGTTACCTCTAAATTGGCTTTTTCCTCTACAAAACGTCTACGATGATTTGAATAATGATAGAAATAATGATAATGGTTCTAATAAGAACATTCGCATGAAAATTCTGCACCTCCTCATGGTGTAAAAGGAGATTTCTAGGGAAGTGGAGCATCCTGAGGCTTTCACAGTCTTCCCAGTGGAAAAGCAGCATCAAGCTTACCCTCCTATGGGTCCTGACATGGTTCTACCTTCTTAGGTGTCAAAGCAGAGACAACACATTTGCAGGAAGGTGAGAAGTCTGCATTCATACTGAGAGAATAAACCTCCAACCATCCTTCCTGACCGCAGGGCCTCATGGCTGGAAGTCTCTCCTTTCTTGCTGCTTTTGTCTCCTCTCTCACCACCTCTAACACTCGGTCTGGCCTGTCTGTACCTCGCTCCATTGCAGTGTCTGCCTTCACACCTTCTTCAGCACACCTCTGAGATGTAGTGCTCAGATCCCTCATGAGTGACACTGGAAGCTCTGCAGACCCCGACTGTCCCTTTTCCACACTGCGGGCAAGGTCAGAATTCTCCCCCTACCCAAACAGAAGATCCTCATGAACCAGAGAATCTCAGTGCCTGCCCGGAACAGATCGGAATATCCAGGTGATGATTTCTCAGGAGAAGTTAGGGACACACATTGCAGCTGACTGGAGTATGCCCAGACCTGTGCTGTGCTGTGTATGTCACTTGGCACCCAGACATTCGGTCACAAGCCTGTGCTTTACGCAGGAGTGAAACGCCCTGTTTTCATCGGGATGTTACTTTGCTCCGCTGTAGGAACAATTAACTGAGTTGTGTATTTCTAAGAAAATTCCCTGAAAGCTCCAAAGACGAGGGTGTCAGTGAGTCTGAGCTCAGGTGGGATTTACAGCATTTGACAAAGCCCTGCTGGCCCCGGCCGGCGCTGTGCCCCCGGCCCCGCCCGGCCCCGCCCGCGGCGGTTCGTGCCCGGCCGCAGCCCCGGCTCCTCTGGCCGTGTCTGCCACGGCGCAGTAATACACCGCCGCGTCCCCAACACGGGGCCCGGAGAGACAGAGGGTGCTCCAGCGACGGTCTGGTGACACCGACACCTGTCCCACAGGCTCCAGCACTGCTTTATCTCCAGTGAAACCCGTTACAATGTGATGCACCGCCTGGTCGGGGAACTGACGGTACCAATGAACAGAAGCAGTACCCTGAAGTTTGGGGAGGGAGCAGTTCATGGAGGTACCGGTGCCCTCGATGGTCTCTGTCGACGGGTCCTGCAGAACCTGAGCTCTCCCCACAGCCACTGCTGGGAAGGAAAACAGAGAAAAACCGTCAAAATGTGCTTTCTGCCCAGCCCTCCCCGCAGTTTCTCAGAACAAACCCCGCAGAAACAGTCAGGAACACACAGAGATGATGACGAGCAGTGTTTCCCGAGGCTGTCAACACGTGCGGTGAGGGCACTCGTGGAAGTGAGAACAGAGTCCATTGAGTCTCCCCAGATCACAACTCATCGACCGTTTGTGGAGAGAGGAATGTGTGAATGAAACGTGGAAGGATAAGGTCACTGTAACAAAAAAATGAGACAAAGAAAGAAAAGACGGAAAGAAAGTAGCAAATGGGAAGGACTGACTGCATGAGTAATACGGAAATCACAATGAAAAGAAGAGAACAGTGAGAGTCAGACAAACTATGGAGTGATGAGATTTCTGAGGCAATATGGGATGGCACAGAGAGACGGATGGACTGCACGATGATCTGAGGAGACAGATCCGTGAAGCAGCCAGAGGGGACGGCAGCCTCGAGGGACCTGCATGGCCACTCCAGCCCCAGCCCCGACCCCCACGGTCCCCCGCCGCCAGCCCCGCGCACCGAGCAGCACCGCGGCCAGCGCCGCCAGCCCCGCGCCCCGCCAGCGCCGCATCCCGCCGCTCCGCCGCCCGCGCCTCGCTGCCCCCGCCAGCCCCGGCTCTCGGCTCCCGACGGGCCGCCTCCCCTCCCATCCCCTCCCATTATCCCTCCCCTGCCCTCCTCCGCCAGCTCCGCCCCGGGGCTGAGCCCTGCGCCGGCGCCGCTCGGGCTCTCGCCGGGGGCGGGCTGGATGCCGAGGGCAGGCGAGAGCGGCGGCAGCGCGGCGGCGGTCGGGGCTCTGCACTGCGGGGCGGCGGGGCCGGGCTGGCTGGCAGAGGAGCGGGTTGGTATCGGGGAGCTTAACATGGACAGGCCATGAGCTCCTTTCACCGCCATCGTCTCTTCCCTCACATCCCTCCTTCACTGGCACCTGGGGACTCCTGAATTGTCCTCCAGGGCACGTGCTTGTAAGAATGGTCGAGGGGCATGAGAGGCAGAACATCCCTCCGGGCTCAGCATCCCGGGCTCAGCCTCTCCTGGCCTGTCACGGGGAGCATCCCTGCTGGCAGCTGGAGCACTTCGTGTGGGGACACAGCCCGGTTGGGCAGGGACTGTGGCACCAGTGCTACCGTGAGGCAGTGCATGGGAGAAGTACGTTCCCCAGAGAAAGCCCGGACATGGCATGGCATCTCCCATCTGCTTTGGAGTCATGGAGATGCAGTCTGCATTCATGGAGCACAAGGCTAGGACAGGTGGAAGATCAGGGATGACAAGGTTATGTGGCCATCTGTGGCCTGAGAGAGACGGATCTGAAAGCAACTGTGACTCTCGGGATAAGATGAAGTCCTGCAAAACCATGAGGGGAATGGAAGGGTTTCTCTTCTCCAAGACAAGTAACACGATTTGGTCAGCCTGCCCCTGCATGTCATGTTTGACCAGTGCCCAAATCTACTTGGTGGCCTTTGTTGCATTCACTGCAGTCTGTTGATAGTCTTGTTGGACTGGGGAGCCTCAGGGTGGATGAAATACTCCATATGTGGCCTCCAACGAGCCAGAGGGGCAGGGTCACCTCCCTGAACCTGCTCACAGCTTATCAACTAGCACAGCTCAAGATGCACTTGACCTTCCTTGCTGCAAGGGCACTGCTCTCTCATGTTCTGCCAGATGTCTCCTAAAACCCCACATCCTGTTCCATGGATCTGCTTCCTAGACAGACAGCTCCCAGCCTGCAGAGGCTGTATGGGTGGAGGGTGTCAAGGGTCTGGTGAACCTCTAGGTGCACACCTGTGCTGCCCTCCCATCTCCACAGAGTTGTGATCTGGGGAGAAATCAATGAGCTTTGATCTCACTTCCACGAGTACCTCAGTCCGAGAGCATCTCCATGGAGGGGGAATCTGGCCTGGCTGAGCTCTCCCAGCAGAGCTCCCTGGCAATGATCTCACCAAAGGTCACTACAGGCAAGAGGCACTTCAGAGGTGCCCACTGAAGCCGCTCTATCATTCCCTCCACAACTGCACAGGGGAGAGAAAACATCATGAAAAGCTCATGAGTTAAGGGCAGGGAGAGATCACTCACTGTTTACTTGCATGGGCAAAACAGACTTGACTTAAGAAAATCAGTTGAATTGTTTACCAATCAAAACTAGAGCAGGATAATGAGAAGCAAAACAAATGCTAAAATCACCTTTTCCCCACCCCTCTCTCCATCCTGGACTTAACTTTATTCCCAATTCTCTCTCTCCTCCCCTCCAGTGGCACAGGGAGGTGGGGAATGGGGGTTGTGGTCAGTTCATCACACCTTGTCTCTGCCGCTGCTTCCTCCTCAGGGAGAGGATTCCTTCCCCAGCCCCAGCCTGGGGTCACTGCCATGGGTGACAGTCCTCCACAGACTTCTCCAGTGTGAGTCCTTCCCTTGGGCTATGCTTCTTCATAAACTGCTCCAGCGTGGGTCCCTTTCCACGGGGTGCAGTTCTTCAGGGACAGACTGATCCAGCCTGGGTCCCCCAGAGGGTCACAAGTCCTTCTTAGAGACCTGTTCTAGTATGTGCTCTTCAGTTTGTGGGTCCACAGGTCCCTGCCAGAAGCCTGCCCCAGCATGGGCTTCCCACAGGCTCACAGCCATCTTTCAGGCATTCACCTGCTCCTCCATGGGCTGCAGGTGATTTCTGCTCCCATCTCACTCCTTTGCCCTCTGGCTGCAGTTTCCTCTGCACAATCATTTTTTCCCCTGTTACAAGTGTTGTCACAGATGTGTGTCACTGACATTGATGATTGACTCGGCCTTGACCAGCGGTGGGTCCGTCCTGGAGCTGACTGGCATTGGTTCTGTTGGACATGGAGGAAGCTTCTCACAGCTTCTCAGAGAAGGTACCCCTTTAGTGCTCCCCCAGTACCAAAACCTCGCCGTGCAAACCCACGCACATGAATTCACACTAACCTGGCTGCACACAAGTGCACTCAAACCAGGAATACAACCAATGACGGACTCTGCTGAGGACACCTGGGGACAACACCGCAGGGCTGGGGCACTGTGGGGAAGGACAAGGCCCCAGGGAAGCCCGTGGCATTGTTTGTGTACTCACAGGCTGCACACAGACAGAAGATTCAAAATAAACCCAAATGCTTTCCTGAGGGCAGTGTTAGGCAGGACGGGGTCAAAGCAGCCGCCCAAAGCACACACGTAGAGAGGCAACAACCAGTGACCATTGGGGTGAGCTGAGGAGGGAGGGAAAGGGAATGACATGGCCCATCCTCATGCCCAGGAGTCCTTGGGTATCCACAGAGGATTGCTGCAACTTCTTCTTGAAAACAGCACTTTAAGCAACCCCACCAGTGTGATCCAGACTGACACATCATTGCCTGCTCTGGATCCATCCAGCCCTGGAGCTGAGTCCTGAGCTGCATTATTTCATTCTTACCCTAGAAATCCTAGGGTTCAAACAAAGCCATCCTTGGGGCATGGAAGAAACCCAGAAATGAAAAGGCAGCAGTTTGGAAACCAAAGCACAGCCTGTACCATCAGCTGTGATGGTTTGCATTCAAGATGAAATTGTTACCTCTGCAAAGGCTGTCCCTGGTCCAGTGGCGGTGAAGGACAGGTAGAAAAGGCAGCCCCAGCCCCTGCTGTCTCATCCACTTCTCTTATCTCCTTCTGCTTGGGAACCAGGTGAGTCTGAAGCCCCTTCTCCTCCTCTTCCACAGCGAGATCTCCACTGGTTGGACATCTCAGATGATTCTGGCTGTGTCCTGTGCTGGGCCCTGGAGCTTGCTGTCATGGCAAGTTGTTGGTACACGTAGGGGTAGCACTGCCATACACATGTCCAACGAGTGCCAGAACCCAACAAGCATTTATACATGGAAGTAAACAAGCTCCGAATTTTATCTAACACATACATTCTTCAAGGTTCAGTACAAAGGTGGGTAGATGTCTTATCTAACTATACACTTGGTTACCTATTCTCTATACCTGCTATTACATATGATTATCACTCCAAGCAGCAACATCCGCCATCCATCCTTTAGACCCCTTGTAAAGCTATTGATTACACCTGCTGTGTCCTGAAGCACTTCTTCCAGCTATTATCTTTCCCTTCCAGTTGGGTGTTTCCCCTTCCAGCCATGTTGTTTTTCTGCTTGCAAGCAGTTACTTTTACAGAGTCATACTTATGCTAAGTTCTGAAGGTTATGTTAACATAGGCCTTAAACTTTAGCCATGTATTTTTATCTTCTTTGTTTCAACCGCTCCCACATCTTCAGATGCTATTGTGGCAAAAGGTCCCTCCCCTGAAGAAGATACTGGGAAAGCCCCAGGGAGACACCTCAGGGGACTCAGAACATGATGCTGGGCTGAGTGAGGATGGACATTTTTCCATGTTGGTACCAGGAGAGGTGAATGGCTTTGCCTTTCCCTTTTCTTTGTTTGCTTTGCTTCCCCTTGGCAGCAAGGTCCCACCATGGTCAGCCTGGTGGGGACCATCTGTCTCCTCTCCCTCTAAGGGACAGGCAGACAGGCACCATGCAGGAACTTCTCCCCCACCAAGGAGGACAGACTCTCAGATGCCCCCGGGCTCCCTGCACTGCTGTCCTCCACATGCAGGGATGTCCTTTCCCTCTTTTGACTCCTCACATCTTTCTGCTGAATTCAAGCCTGGCCTCCGTGTTGGCTTTCCCACCCCTGCAGACACTCTCCAAGCTGTCAAAGTGGAAAGGAGTTTCTCAGCAGTGGAAGTGGGTGATGGCACAAGGAGAGCCTTCTCCACTGACAGAGGAATGGGAGGTTGGGACAGCCTGCAATGGCTCCTCTGTTGAGGGGAACCATCCTTTGGCTGCTGAATGAGTCAAGGCTGGAAATTGCAGCAAAGCAGGTGAGGGCAGCTGAGGGCTGTCACAGCGAGTGGGGACAGGGAGACAGTGAAATACTGCGGGAGGTGACATCCCTGTGACACTGAACCTACAGGAGAACGGGCACATCAGCAAGGACAAGGATTGTGGGATTGCACTTCCCAGCAGAGCTGCAGGTGGGTGCAGAGCTCTTCACTGCTTCCTTGCTCCCCACAGAGGGTTTGTGCTGAGGAGTTGGCTGCCAGTCTGGGGGAGAGGATGCTGTAACATGTACATCTCATCCCTTGTGACTGGTGAAACCTTCTCTTGGCAGCCACTACAGTCTTATGTATGATTGCCTGCATCTGCTCTGGCATAAAGAACAGTGCCATTGGTGGAATTTTAATATTTTTGATCGTCAGGGAGTTTATACAGCACCCAGACCTGCTATTTGCAAACAGAAGAGGGTTGGTGAGAGATGTGCTGATCAAAGGCCATCTGGAGCACAGCGACCATGAAATGTTAGAGTTTTCCACACTTGGTGAAGTAAGGAGGAGCATCAACCAAACCTGTACCCTCGACTTCTGGAGGTTGGACTTGGGCCTGTTGAGGACACCGATTCGGAAAGCCCCTTGGAAAGCAGCCCTTTGAAACAAGGGGGCCCAGGAAGGCGGGACATGGTTTGAGAAAGAAATCTTGGAGGTGCAGGAGCGGCCCCTGCTGGCCCCGGCCGGCGCTGTGCCCCCGGCCCCGCCCGGCCCCGCCCGCGGCGGTTCGTGCCCGGCCGCAGCCCCGGCTCCTCTGGCCGTGTCTGCCACGGCGCAGTAATACACCGCCGCGTCCCCAACACGGGGCCCGGAGAGACAGAGGGTGCTCCAGCGACGGTCTGGCGACACCGACACCTGTCCCGCCTTGTCCGGTAGATCTTTGGAGCCTTGAACAATAAGTGCGAGCAGTTGGGGGCCTCGGCCCCGGAGCTGACGGTACCAGTGGATATAGTCACCAGTCCGTATGGTCGGGTGTGAGCAGTTGATGGTGATTTCCGTGCCCTCGGGGGTTTGTGCCAACGGCTCCTGCTGCACCTGGGCTCTGCCTGCAGCCACTGCCAGAGAGACAAAGAAGAAAAATATCAGAATTTCTTTTTGTCCTGTGAGTTGTTTCTCAGAAGAAATCCTGCAGAAGCAGTCAGGGACATACAGAGATGATGAGGAGAAGAGTATCCAGAGGATGTCAACATGTGCAGTAATAGAAATGTCAATCACTAGTGGAGACATGACTGTGTGAATAATAGGCAAAAGAAAGAAAGAAAGACAGAGAGGAAAGGAAGGTGCAGTGATAGTTGGACAAAGAAGAGAGGCGTGAATTCTCTGAGGGAATGTGGGATGGTGTAGAGAGAGGGATGGATGGGAGGATGATTCAGGGACAGAGGTCTGTGAAGAAGCCAGAGGGGACGGCAGCTTCCAGAGACCTGCGCGGCCACCCCAGCCCCAGCCCCGACCCCCACGGTCCCCCGCCGCCAGCCCCGCGCACCGAGCAGCACCGCGGCCAGCGCCGCCAGCCCCGCGCCCCGCCAGCGCCGCATCCCGCCGCTTCGCCGCCCGCGCCTCGCTGCCCCCGCCAGCCCCGGCTCTCGGCTCCGGACGGGCCGCCTCCCCTCCCATCCCCTCCCATTCTCCCTCCTCTGCCCTCCTCCGCCAGCTCCGCCCCGGCCCGGGCTCAGCCCCCTCCTCGCACAGCACCAGCACAAGCAGCGGCACAAATCCCTTTGGCATTGCCAGCCACAGCACACAGCTGGGGGCCAGCCCAGACACCACCCACACGCCATCGGAAGCACATCCACTCCGGGACTGGCAGCACACGGTCGGCGCCATTCAGGAGCCTCTCTCCCTGCCCACCAGGCAAACCTGCCCCTCCTCACCTCTGCAGCGCTGCTGAGAGCAGCAGCCTCACGGCTGGGGAGGGGGCACGGGGGGCTGCCAGGCGTGCTGAGGCACTGCCAGTGTTGCTTACACTGAGGTCAACTCAGCATCCAAGCTGCAGTGAAACCGGCCTTGTTGGGCCGAAATCAGCAGCAGCGGAGCGAGAGCTGTGGACGGACAGGAAGAGAAGGGCTCCGGAGGCAGAACCTGCATTTCTCTGCCTCTTCCCTGGACACAGCTGTAGGGGGCAGGTGCCGTCAGCACTCAGCTGCACCCACGCGCCTTCTGACCCTGACAACCTGCTGCTCTGTGGAGTTCAGGGCCAGAACAGAGGACGGTATCCCTGGAATAAGCAGCAAATGAACTTTCCATGAGGAAACACATGGACGGACACACACACAGACACACACACACACACACACTCACAGGCTCGTGCACACCAGTGTGGAATCACACACAGATTTGTGCCCCCACATGTGTCCGTGCAAACGCAGCTGCTCCAAGAGCACACAAGGCAGGAACACACAATCAGCCGTGGACTCTGCTGAGGACAGCTGCAAAAGACCCTGGTACTCAGTCCAGTTTGGAGTTGGATACCTTACAACTTCACGATATGCCTATAATTTTGTTTTGTAATTAAAAAGTATTTTATTTCTCAGAGTCAGATGTCTTAAAATGGCTATGTGGCTGCACCAGGGCAAAAAGAATCTGGGCAGATACTGGTTCCAGTTGTGTGAGGTGTGAGATTAAACACACAGGGTTTAGTCTCTTGGGGATAAAAACCTAGGTTTTTAATCTGTTTGGTAAGAAAACTAGTTTCGATTGCACTGGTCTGTTGTACCTGGGTTCAAAATACACAATACATAATAAATATATGTGGTTCAAAAGGCTTAAAGAGGTAGTTAGAACCATCTACTGACAAAAGATTTAATAAAAATCCTTTACAGTGTATAAAAGAACAATTCTTCTCTAGTTTTGTCAGTGGTTATTCTTATTCCAAAAATCCAGGCATTGGGAAACACATAAATAGCCAGGAAACACAGGATCTAACTAAAAAACATAAACTTTTATTTGAATAAAAGGGAAAGTTCACTGAACAAATCTCACTGAGGTCACTCAGCTCAGTGGAAATTGCAGCCTCCTTTTAGCCCCTTTGCCCGGAGTGCTGGTCACTCCCCGTTTCTCCATTGGCTGAGATACTCCAGAGTTACAGCCTTCCCGACGCCTCCCGTGTGTCCCACACTATGTGCTTATTGGGTGGCTCTGAAGGTCACTGACATTGTTCAGAATGGAGGCCACAGCTCACTGTGATGTGGAGGACATGGCCACCTGATCCTTCTCTACTGCTGGTTGGTGCCCCATCTCTGGGCAAACTGCACCAACTGACAACTGACCAACCAGGAACTTGTCGCTTCTTACTGCGAACTGTGACTACACTACAAATTTTGCAAGAACACCTACTTATTCCTAATAATCCCTCCTTTTTCTCTCTTAGAGTTATAGAATCATAGAATCAGCCAGGTTGGAAAAGACCTCTGAGTTCATCAAGTCCAACCATTGATCCAACACCATCTAGATCGAATGGTTACTAGAACATGGCACTGATGCCACATCCAGTCTCATCTTGAAAATCTCCAGGGACGGTGAATCCACCACCTCCCTGGGCAGCCCATTCCAATGGCTGATTACTCTCTCTGTAAAAAATTTCTTCCTAATATCCAAGCTAAACCTCCCCTGGCACAGTTTTAGACTGTGCCCTCTTGTCCTACTGCTGGTTGCCTGGGAGAAGAGACTGACCCCAATCTGGCTACAACTTCCTTTCAGGTAGTTGTAGAGAGTGAGGAGGTCTCCCCTGAGCCTTCTCTTCTCCAGGCTAAGCAACCCAGCTCTCCCAGCCCCTCCTCATGGAACTTGTGCTCCAGTCCCTTCCCCAGCCTTGTTGCTCTTTGGATCTGCTCCAGTACATCAATATCCTTCCTGAACTGAGGGGCCCAGAACTGGACACAGCACTCCAGGGGTGGCCTCACCAGTGCTGAGTCCAGGAGAAGAATCATTTCCCTGGTCCTGCTGCCACACTCTTCCTGAGCCAGGCCAGGATCCATTGGCTTTCTTGGCCACCTGGGCACACTATGGCTCATGTTCAACTTCCTGTCAATCAGCACTCTCAGCTCCCTCTCTGCCTGGCTGCTCTCCAGCCACTCTGTGCCCAGCCTGTAGCGCTGCCAGGGGTTGTTGTGGCCAAAGGGCAGGACCCGGCACTTGGCCTGGTTGAACCTCATCCCATTGGAATCGGCCCATGGATCCAGCCTGTGCAGGTCCCTCTGCAGAGCCCTCCTGCCTTCCAGCTGATTGACACTCCCCCCCAACTTGGTGTCATCTGCAAATTTGCTAATGGTAAACTCAATCCCCTCATCCAGATCATCAATAAAAATATTAAACAGAACTGGGCCCAACACTGATCCCTGGGGACACCACTGGTGACTGGATCCCAAGTGGATGCAGCACCATTCCCACCACCCTCTGGGCCCAGCCCTCCAGCCAGTTCCTAACCCAGCACAGAATGCCCCTGTCCAAGCCGTGGCTGCAGCTCTTCCAGGAGTGTGCCATGGGAGATGGTGTCCAAGGCTTTGCTGAAGTCCAGGCAGACACATCCACAGCCTTCCCCTCATCCACCAGGTGGGTCACCTGATTATAAAAGGAGATCAGGTTGGTTAGGCAGGACCTGCCCTTCCTAAACCCGTGCTGGCTGGGTCTGATCCCTTGTCCATCCTGTAGGTGTTGTGTGATTGCACTTAGGATGATCTGTTCCATAACCTTGTGTGGCAGTTTGAGCCGCATTAGAAATCTAAAATCCAATTTTCCAGGCTTCCCCCACACCTTCTGAAAATTTATCCTAACACCAGAGAGAAACTTTCAGGCTAGAGGCTTCTATAGGGGAAAGGGGAAGTATATACATTTATTTACACAAATAAATATACTGTACAAACTAAAAGCAGATATATATATATATTACATTTCTGTCTGTCAGTCTTTTCAAGCCCCTCCTTTTAACTACTTTAGTCCAGGAGCAGCTTTTCAAGGCTGATACATAACAGAGTCTTTGCCGTGGGAGTGTTCTGGGCTTGAACGCTCCCCCCTCACCAAGTTCCAGCTGCTTGTTACAGTCTCTCTCCTCATGAAGTCCAAGAAGATAGTTTTGAGTCCTTGCTCTTCTGCTGCTGTGTGATTTCTCTCTCTCATACCTTGGTTCGTAGGCTGCTGCAGTGTAGTTCAGCTTATCAAGCGTCTGTGTCCTGGAATGTTGATTTCTCCTCGGGTTTTCAGCTGTCCTGCATTTTAGTTCACGGCAGAGACATCCTCCGGGCCCCTCTCTCTCTCTCTGGGGTCCATCTCCAATTTTTGCCTGGGATCCTTCTCCCCAGCAATCGAGCCTCCTCCAGCCCGTCCACTTGGCTCTGCTCCAATGCTGAGCCTCACATCCACTCTCACTAAACAGCGAGAGGGAAAAACAGCCCTGCTCTGCAGCTTGGCTGCAAAGGTGGGGGGGAAAGAAGAAGAGGGCCTGGTCGCAGGGCCTGCCTCTCTCTCTCCCACTTACCAGTTGTTTGTGAGTCTCATCCCCCACAAACATGCACTCATTCCAGTGCTGTCTCCAACTCTGGACTAGGCAGAGTTAGGGGGGCCACAGGGCTCCCCTCTTCCCCCCGGAGGGGGAGAGAGCGAGCCCAGCCACACCCTGGCCTTGTCCACCTACCCACAGCAGACACCACCAGCAAAACAACCAAGACAGAACTGCCAACAGCTTCCGGTGCTGTGATATATGATTTTGAGCAGAAGCGAACAACATGGACAGTGATTGGCTCTCCAGGGAACATTGTCCTGGCACCCAATCACCTCTGAGCCCCCCCAGCCTCTCAAGGGAGGCCAATTTCAAACTATGACACCTGGCCAGACACTGAGGTCAGGTTGACAGGCCTGTAGTTTCCCGTGTCCTCCTTCAGGCCCTTTTTGTGGATGTGCGTGACATTCGCCAACTTCCAATTATCTGAGACCCCCCCAGTGAGCCAGGACTGTTGGTAGATGATGGAGAGCGGCTTGGCGATCTCTTCCACCAGCTCCCTCATCACCCTAGGATGGATCTCATAGACTTGTGAGGATCCAAGTGGCTCAGCAGGTCGCTGACTGTTCCCTCCTGGATTACAGGGTCGTTCAGCTTCCTGTCTCTGTCTACAAGCTCCAGAGGCCACTTGTCCTGAGGACAACCTGTCTTATTGTTGAAAACTGAGGTAAAGAAGGTGTTAAATACCTCAACCTTTTCCTCATTTTTGGTGACTATGTTCCCTCCATGTCCAACAAAGAACGGAGGTTTTCCTTGCCCCTTCTTTTGCTATTGATGTATTTGGAGAAGCACTTCTTGTTATCCCTAACAGAAGTGGCTAGATTGAGTTCAAATTGTACCTTCGTCTCTCTAATTTTCTTTCTATGTGACTTAACTGTACTCCTAAACTCTTCATGAATAGCTAGCTCTTTTTTCCATAGTCGGTAAGCTCTCTTTTTTACCCTAATTTCCTTCAAAATCTCCCTGTTCAGTCAGACCAATTGTCTTCCCCACCGGCTTGCCTTTCAGCACACTGGGACAGCTCCTGTGCATTCAAGACTTGCTTTTTGAAGCATGTCCATCCCTCCTGGACCCCTTTGTTTTCAAGGGCTGTTTCCCAAGGTACCCTCTGAACCAGTCTTCTGAGTAGGCCAAAATCTGCCCTCTGGAAGTCCAGGGTAGAAGTTTTATCAATGGCCTTCTTTGCATCCTTGAGTATTGAAAACTATTATTTCATGGTCACTGTGCCCCAGATGTCCACTGACCACCACATCTCCCACCAGCCCCTCTCTGTTTGTGAACAGCAGGTCTAGCAGGGCCCCATCTCTGGTAGGCTCATTTACCAGCTGGAGCAGGAAATTATTCTCTAAACACTCCAGGAATCTCCTAAACTGCCTCTTCTCTGTTGTGTTGAGTTTCCAGCAGACATTCAGATGGTTAAAGTCACCTACAGGAAAAAGGGCTGATGATTTTGAGACATCCACCAGCTGCTTGTAGAATAATTCATCATTCTAGTTGGATGGTTTGTAACAGACTCTCACTGGGATGTCAGGCTTGTTGGCCTTCCCCCTGATTCTGACCCACAGGCACTCAACCTTATCGTTACCAACTTCAAGTTCTACAGAGTGAAGAGACTCTCTAACATACAGAGCCACCCCTCCACCTCTCCTACCTTGCCTGCCCTTTCTGAAGAGCTGTTAGCCACCCATGGCAGCACTCCAGTCATGGGAGTCATCCCATCATGTTTCTGTGATGGTGTTCTTGAAAAAGGGAGTATCATTTTCTTAATAATTGTCTCTTGATCCACTTAATTACTTAAGATTAAAGTTTCTTGAGAGTGAATAATTGATAATTTTCTTTGGAGCATTATCTTCAGGGCCATTATTTTCTGTCCTTTAGTCACCATTTCAGGATCACTGGGCATCACTACTAATTGCATTCCCTTTATCACGTGTGATAAGTTGCATAAAACAAAGGATTATACAAGGCAAGAAATCAAGGTAGCTAGTTCACAAAGAACAAGAAATAATATTTTCTTTATTCCCCATCCGACAAGAAGTATAAAAACATATCAATGTCCCACCCTTTCCAGGTTGAACTGGGTCATGGGCTAGCTTCCAAATTTCTTTTGTTATCTGTTTTACTACTTTTCCATTGGCATCGATTTACAGGCAACAATTTGAATAATTTGATTTTCCACATACCCCTCCTTCCTCTGCTAATAAATAATCTAATACTATTTGATGTTACAAGCTGGCACTTCTCATCTGGGTTACTTGATCTGCTAACAGATCTAAGGTGGTAGCCGTTTGATTAGTAATATCTTCTAAACCAGCTTGAAGTCTAATTATATGAGTCAAATTATAAATAGGGTCTCTTGCTCCATATATTAATTCCTTAGGATTCCAAGTGACTTGTCCATAACATTGTATAATTCTCTTGGGGGGCCACTCATCCTTTCCCCATTTTTGAGAACTTCCCCCAACCAAAGAGACATCAGTTGATCATTTTTCTCTAATCAGATCATCATATATTTTGATTCCTAATCTGTCTCCTTGAGCTTGTGGTAACAAAAAGAACAATGGTCTAATATGTCCTACATAATGTATCTGTGACCAATCTGGGGGCAATCTTCAGTATGCATGTTGTCCACAAATCCAATAATGGCCTTTAAGCAGCCAGGTTCTATTGGGAAAGGGACTGTCTCAAGTTTCATTGTCTTTTGGGACATGAAAATTCTCTTTCCCTAACGGTTCCCCTACTACATTTATTATCTCATGACTTACTCATCTTCTTGTGCTTTTATTTGACTCTGTGAGGGCTCCTGACCACTCTACATAGAGCTTTCAGGCAAGATAAGCTTCACATAATTCCTCACAGAATCGCACTGTTAATGTGAAATTTACTTTTCTTACCCAAATAATTCTACTCCTAACCTGGGCTTTCTTCTTTGAAATTCCTAGGCAGACATTCTTTTTATGAGGAAGATATCACAGAAATACAGAATGATTGAGGTTGGAAGGGACCTCTGGGGGTCATCTGGTCTCCCCTGCTCAGGCAGGACTATCTGGAGCTGTTTCTCAAGGACCATGTCCAGGCAGCTTTTGAATATCTCCAGGGACAGTGGTTCCACCTCTGGAGATATTCAAAGGCTCTCTGAACACAATCAAATATGGATACAATTAAGTCTGAAGGAGAATATAGATAGTACTGTTAAAAGGTATTGTACCAAAGAGTTCAGCTTAGAATCGTCCTCCATTTTTCTGGTATCTCTGGTTCCCTCACTGGACAATTTGGTTTTTTCCTATTTTGGGATAATTCCAAATGCAAAGGTGCTGGTTTAACAGAGAGCATTTTACTGTGGAGCACAATTTCTCCACAAAAGCTTTCCTTAGATCATATGAGCTGGGAGAGCTGCAGACTCTGTCCTCTCCTGTGGAATTAGCCACACTAACACAATCTTACTATTGGACTGTACAAAAGCTCCCTATTATGGGGTTTCTTCTGGAAACAATTCTATTCTCCTGTTTTCTTAAGATCTATGTCCTGTAATTCAACCATGTATGCAAACGTAAAGTGAAAAGCCACTGCTCAGTGGGAGGCAATCAGGAGGCCTCTCATGAAATGAGTGGCTGAGGTCGATTAAACACTCACTGTCAAAGATGTCAGCAAAAGCAGGTTTAATAGAAATTTGCAAAAGCTCAGCAAAGTCCAACGGCAATGGTCACTCTATTTATTAAACATACACAGGAACATCGAGTTAGAATTAATTTAGAATGATTTCTGCAGAGACTGGGGGGGCAAAAAGAAGGTAGAGTTGTTAGAGAGAGACCATCCCACTGAGTCACAAGGTACAGAAAGGACCCCCTTGTTTTCTCAACTGCCTCTCAGGGGAGGTGTGGATCGAACCATTCCTAGTCCCAGACTTGATCAACAGTTTATGTAAAAGATTATAACAGCACTCAATCATTGACCTTTCCCTCCTGTCCACCTGATTACACCATTTTTCTCTAAGGGAGTGTTCTTAAAAGCTAAATCTGCCTGAGAGATTGGGAAAAGGTGTGGAGTGTAAGATGAAAACATTCAGAGTGTCATCAGAAAATCAGGATAAAAATACTAGTGAGTGACTCCCCCTGATTTACATTATGGTGGTAGGATGCACTAAACAAGCATTTTACTGGATTTGGATTTGCCAGGCAAATTTCACTTCTCTTCTGCATAGGGTGAGGGTCTTCCTCCAGGGGTCTGCAGGGTCTGAGGGACAACCTGACAAAGCTTAATGAAGCAGACCCTGCAATGTTCTCTGCAGAGCCTGTCTTGAAGCCATCAGTAACTCAGCCAGTATGAGAAAAGCCTTATTTCTCCTCCAGGATGTGGTGAACTTGTTTTTCCAAACAAGGGGAGGGTTAATCTTGCACGGTGCAACTAAGTCAGAATTGTTGGCCACAACATCCTGCCCGTTGCTTGTGAGAAAAAGGTGAGCTGGGGCATGTGTGTGGTGGGGTCTATTAGTTCATAACCAAGTTGCTGTGGAAACTATCACCCCATCAAACATTCACATATTATTTCCTGTTGGCCTCTTCCTCATATCACTGAGTGGAAAAAACCAGCATGTTTTCTTCTCTTCTGCTCTGTGTGTTTCCCTCCCTCATGCTTTCAGCAAGCTATGTCTTAATTGAAGCTTCTGAATGTCCCAAGAGATACTTCCCTGCACAAAGTCTAGAAAAGACAAATCCAGCCAACGGGAAATCTGGGTTATCAAAGCTGTATTTCTAATCTCAGTGGTCATTAGGACAGTTGGGTTTCAGCAATGTCCATCCCAAATTCATAAGAAAAAGCACAGAACAAACCACAGCATTTTGGTCAAGGAAAATTTTATTTTTGTCACTACTACAGGAAACTAAAATGCACGTGGGATATATTTTGCAGAAGAAATACAGGTTTAAGAAAGAAATGTTTCTATGGTTGAACATTATCTGTTTGAATTGGATCACTTCAGATCCAACACAGGTCTTCTCAACCACAATAGGAAATTATTGTTAATAAAGCTGTCTAAAAACCAAAGCTATAAATGGCAACTATTGTGCCTGAATTGTCTCTGCAGTAACACACCAGTTCTACAGACAGTAACACAACATGCCTGTGAAACCTGATTTAAAACGTTATATAGCTCTCTATATATCTATATGTATTGATAGTGAGGATTGGGTTTTTCTACAACTATTGAGGCAGGTTGGACATTCCTGTGTAAATGCCAGAACAGTGGGGAGATCTACTCAGCAGGAGGATGAGGAGAAATGCACTCTCCTCAGTGCACAGAGAAAAAGAAATAGCAAAAGCAGTTACAACTCTTAAATCTAAATGAACTGGCTGGGCAGGATTGAACAGCATCAAATGTCTAAAGGGGAAGGGGCTGTGTTGTGTTCTGGGTGCTCACTGTCAGCAGATGTGACACTGCTTGTCCAGCCCGTTGTGCTGCTGGTTCACCTTCTTTCCTGCAGTTCTTCAGGTTCCTCTTGCCTTGACTCCACATGGCTGGAAGAGCAAAGGGTGTTTTAAACTACATTTAATGCAAATGGAGCAATAAATCACTGTTTGGGAGCTGTCCAGTCAAGACAGGTACACTACAAAACTTAGGCTGGACTATCTTTTGTGCCTCTTTGGACACTTTAATTTGAAAATCCCCCCTGCCTCCCCTCTCTTTACTCCCACAGGTTTGTGTTTTGGGATCCTTGCTTCTGAATCCTTATTTGTTTGGAGTTTTCTCCAGGCTTTGTGCTCTGGCACTTGAAGTAGTGAAGGAGGTACCTCTTAGGCTCTTCAGGCAATACCTGAGTTGCTCGGGCAAAGAAAATTTGGGAACCAGCCACCAAGAACTGAGCTCTGGATATAGAAAAGTGTTGTTTCCTTTGTCACGTGGGAGGCAGGGTGGGCTTCTCTTAATTGTTTTATTTTTTGGGGAGGGGGCCTGGTGTGGGTGCTTTTTGTGGGTTTTGCTCATCGTTGTTGTTTTTTTCCCCAGAAACCTGCAAGAGCTATTCAATGGAATCAGGAGCAGATGAATAGGTGTCGTTACCTGTGGGGTTAGAGAAGTACACACAGACGGGCAGTCACTCCTGCCACATGCTTCCAGTATCTCTACAAATCAAGCTGAGTGCTTCCTTACCTCAGAAAAGAACCAACTTGATACTCATGAGTGTATTGAAGGCGATGCTTTTTGCCAGCAGGACTCTCAAACCCAGCACAGCCACAGACAGCATGTTCACTCTCTGCACTGTGGTACCTGCTCAGGAACAGCAAAAAGAGGAGAGAGACCATGGCCTAAGTCTGGATGTTGGGATCTTGGCAGAAAGTGGAAAAAGCCACAGGTAACAGCTTCAGGGAAAGGAACAGCAGCAGAGGAAGAGATGCCAGAGAACATGGCAACACCAGGGGAGGAGGGTGTCTGTCTCCATTGCTTTTTGCTTCCTGTTGCTTGCGTGTTCCTACAGCAGCAACCTTGAAAAAGCAGCTTGTGTTTGATAAATATGTCATAATCTGTCTCCTCTCCCCTCGAGAAATTACCTTTCTATGCATTTATCCCCCAACCAGCAATGTAACTTCACAATCTGTTTCGGTCACTAACCTTGGGCAGAGGTGTCTGTGCTGTTGCAAACCCTGTTACTGGTCCTCGTTACGGGTTCTTCAGCCTCCTTTTCTGTAGAATGAAAAAGAAAAGGCATTTTAACCCATATCCAATTTTTAGAAAGTATTAAAAAACTATTCCTATGGCCCTTTCCACAGGGACATGTGGGAAGTAGAGCCTGGGGCTCAGATGATCAGTCACTAATTCCAACATAAATCTGAGGAGACAATTTCTCCCTGCAGTTGCAGGAAACAAAAGAATTTCTAGGTTGTTTTGTTTTTATATTTTGTGTGATTGTTTTTGTCATCTTGAAGGTCATTCAAATAGGGAAAAGGGATTTAGTAAAAACCAAAACCAAATCACACCACCAGTTTAACTTTTTGTTGGCTTTAGAAAGGCTGTTTCAGGTTGTACTCCAGGAGGTTTGCTGCTGCAAATAAAATAAACTCCCATTTTAAAAAAATGGATTGTGCCTTCTCTCCTCCCCCATCAAAAGAAAAGTTTCTCCAATTTATTAAACAGTTGAGACCATTTCTTTTAGATGCTTTTAAACATCTTTCATCTTTCCCTGCTGAAGTACCAACTGTCTCTCTCGTTTCTGCTGCCCACCCTGGGCAGTGCAGACTGTCAGGGAAGAGCAGCACCACAAGACACTGTCTCCACAAATACGTTCCAGCTGTGCCCCCAAGTTGTACCTGACAATGCTGTAATGGTGCCAATGTCCAAATGGGCCTTGCAGGTCACCTCTGTGTCTTTTGTCACACTGACCACCTTCATTGCACTGTACAGCCCCTCTGACGCCAGAATGGGTGTGCTCTGTTCATACACGACCTCATCAGAGGACATCTCCAAGCTGATGTTCTTTGTACTGAAATTCCTTGCCAAACAAGCTGCTTTCCCAGTGCTGCCTCCTTCTTCCAGTTTCTTTGATTTCATCACAATGACTTGTGGGACAGAATGTTTTGGACTGCCTGTAAAAAAAGTATGGTTTGGGCATGATGGATTTTACTGCAAGCCTACCTGAGAGTTAAGTCACGAAAATTAATAGACACACCACCTGGGACTGATTTGTAGCATTATCAATGACCAACTGCCTTTTTTTTTTTTGCCATTACTTCTTGCTGTTGCTTCCAAAAGATCAAATTAGAGACAGAAAGGGTGTATGAGAGCAGGTATTTTATAGGAGATTTAATTCCACAGGATCTCAGCTTCCTTTTGCCAAAGCTGGTGCCTGTAAGTGAATTCTTCATTTTATAAATTAAGGACCTGCAAAGGAGAAGGGAACTTTTGTGCATGTCACTCCAAGAGTCCAATTATTCTGCTTTCTCAACAATTTAATTCCAAACAATGTCAACTCTATGAGGACTGCCTTGCATATTCGTGAGACATGAGGGAATAACTGTTTTTCCCTTTGCTCTCCCTCCCCTCCCCAAATCTCCTGTTGTGGTTGAAAGGTCCAACCACAGCAGGAGTGGCAGGGAGAGCAGAGGTCAGTTTGTTGCCTCACTGCTGTGCGAGGTTCCCCCTCTGAGTGACGTTACTTGCAGAAATGAAGTCCTGCTGCTGCAGGGGGGGGACAAGGCTGAGCTTTTCCATAACAAATGCTCAGGTGCAAGAAGGACTTCTGGCTGTAAGATGGGAAAGTAGGAGAGAAGCAATCGAAAGTCTGTGAATTGTATATCTCCACACAGAATCACAGAATCACAGAATGGATTGGGTTGGAAGGGACCCTGAAGGCCATCTGGTTCCAGCCCCTGCCATGGGCAGCGATGTCGCTCACTAGTTCTGCTCCAGAAGTTCCTGACAAGGCCAAGAACTTTCATTGTGGGGGAGGTTTTCCCCCCTAGACATTGCACAAGGTGTAAGACATTCCAACCAGTCTGCAGGCGATGAGGAGAGAGCAGGATTGGTCCTTGGTTCAACAGCTCTTGTGCCTGTTCCAGAAAGTGTGACCATTCTCACCCCTGTGCTGTGCCGTGTCGTCAGACCCACGGCTCCGGAGCAGTGGGAAGTGTAATGCAGAGTTTGTTTAATAAACTGATCGGAGGGAAAGAATATCCTGGGACCTACAAACATGATGCTCATGGACAAATCTTACAATATTCCTTCGAGTAGTGTAATAACCTTCAGTGCTGGTCCTTTAGCACTAAAATACCAACAAACATCGAGACATGAAAACGAGAGTTTAGACAGAATCTAAAAGATGCTGACAACTTTTCACAGGATTTGAGATGCTTGCTCTGATCTGTCAGAAATTTGGTTACTCTGAAATGTTAGATGTATTTTTTCAGTTTTGAAAGAATTTTAGAGTTGAATTCCCCTGGAAATACATGAATGACAAGAGGTTGACAACTAAAACAGACTGAATTTCAATGGTATAGCAGAAGCCTTCTCTGGGAATTTCCTATAAGACATACAAGACTGTTTAATTTGCAGGAGATGCCCTTAAAGAAAGCAGGTAGTCTCAAAAGGAGTTAGTAGCCAACAAATCATTGCAATACCATGAGGTTTAAAAGAAAACCAAAATATCTTTGCTTGCACGTAACCCAGACATGGATAATCCAGCATGATTTATATACCAGTGTCAGGACTAATTCAGATTAGCCATTCGAATTATAGTAAAAATATGGAAACGAAAGGAATCCTCTATCATCCTTCCTTGACAGAAAGAGTTTAGATACTTAAGACTCAATATATTATACTGTCAAACATAATCTGAAAGTCTTTGTGCAGCTTTGAAAATATCTCATCTTTAGCTACAAAAAGAAAATCATTAACAGCACAGAAAGAATAGGTTTTTCTTCAAAAGGATAACTTGGCATTCCTTTGCCCCTTTGGAAGTGGAAGTGGACTGAGATTGTTCCAAAACAGACATTTATTCCCATGCAACATCTCCTACAGGCATGGGCAGATATTAGGCAGCACCTCAGGCAGTCCCAAGCCCTTCTGAAATGAGAGCAGGGTGTTTTAGGAATGTAAAATGACATGGGACATTTTTGCAGCACTATAAAGACATGCAGACCTCTGAAAGCACAGCAACAAGTCTGTGTTATCTTCAGGATAACACAGAGCAACCTGACAATCTCCTCTGACACCCCAACACTCACATTCCCATAGGGTGGGACATCCACCTTTTTTGTACATCAGGAAAGTCCAAATAAAGACAGGAATAACAACTATGGCTTGTTATCATCCCTACTCCCCACACCTGTGTTTTCAAAGCCCAGACAACTTGGGAGCCAGTTGTCTTTCATTCTAGGACGTCTTGGATATGAGGCACCTGTGAAAACTGAAGGCCAGGGATATTTATCCTCCTTCCTCCTCTGTCTCCAGTGGAATTGCTTCCCTGGGGACACTGTGAGTGTGGTACCAGTGTCAAAACTTCTCCAACCAGACAGTTAAAGGTCTGTCTCAAAACTTCTCCCCACTGTGAGCTCTCCACTGAGCTGTGCATTCCTGCCCAGAGGGAGTCAGTGAAGATCCACTGGAGAAGAGGAGCCTTCAGAGTCAGTTTGGGCCACAGTGGTGTCCAAACTGGGAATAAATTGTAACATGTTCAGTAGTGCACACCTGGTGTTTGGGGATCATGGAATGAAGGTGTTACACAGAGTTAGGCCAGTTGTTCCTGTGAAACCTTCCTAAGCAGCTCCAAGCTGAGGATTTGGCTTGAAAGCCTGGCTGGAGAGAGAGAGTGCACTCAAGGGGTTATTGCAGCAGAAAATTCTTGCAGTGAACCCAAACCATTAGATTCCTTTTTCCTCCCCCACCTTAACTGTAACACAATTTTAGAAATAAATAAAACAAAGTACTTACTTGGTACAACTGTGATGGTGGTCCCTGGTCCAAATACAAGCTTATCATCCTCACACTGCTAATACTCATTGCAATAAATCACTCTTTCCACATGATATTCAAAAAGGTTGTAAAAACAGGATATGAAGAGCCATACATTTGTTCTAATTATCCATGTATGCAACTCCTTGAGGGTGTCCAGAGGGTGTCTTCCAAATTTGGAAAAGGAAAAACAACAATTAAATAGTTCAGTGATTTCAAATAGCTTGATCAAGTACAGAACTTCCAAGTTCACCCTTTCTTCAATCTTTTAGAAACCTTGTGAGCTCTATCTTTCCAGGATAAACAGAAATATAAAAAGATTATTCTATTTGTCTCTTTAATCATCACAGTCACTCACCTCTTTTCCTTCCCAAAATATATTGCCTTTTTACCTTCTCTGGGTTTTTGTACAGGGCCCTGTGCTGTTTATATCATTGTGGCCCGCCAGCCCCTGTACACAGTGGTGTATTTCATTGCAAAAACTGCCTCTCTTCCACTACACAGAATTTTGGATTATACAGGGAGTCATGTGACTTCTCAAGTGGTTCAAGACCAAACATACCACATGAAGAAACACAATATGGCTTTGAAGGAACAGTCTAAGAAAATGATGGTCCTTTGTTATGTAGAGGCACTGTGGCCATGGGAGTGACTATCAGAGATTAAAGGAGCTGTTGCAGAATTATCAGATCTTTCATGATGATCAACTTGTGCAGCATTAACACAATCTGGACCTTGATGGCAAAAGATGGACTCCACCTCTGAGTCTCTGCAGCTTCAAGAGCCCACTTCTCCCTTTTCTACCAAAGGAGAGGCAGGTTGAGTCTGTGCCCATTAGGATGGGAAATGGAGGTTGCCATGGTGACAAAGGCTGGGAGCTCCTGGCACCAAGGTGAAGGCTCTTGTTTCACATGAAGATTTGCAGCCACAGAGTAGACTCTGTGCTGTCCTGGCAAAGGAGGAGCTGGGAGCTCTGCCAAACAAGGTGTCTGAGCCCATCGCCCACGAGCCACACAGGAACACCAGAAAAATTGGTGAGTGACAGCAATGGAAGGCTCCAAGCTGCTGGACCAGTCATCTGCTTGCCATGGACTCAAACTGGGGTCACTTTTAATGGACCTGCTCAACTTATTGCACCTGCAGCCCATTACCCCTCCTTCTCTTCCTTGGGGGTATTAATGACAGTGCCATGGCAGTCCTGGGAAGTAGCAGGCAGGCTCTGGGACTGTTGGAAGGAATGGGTTAAGAGCAGAAAAGAGGTGAGGAGGATTGTAAATCACTCATGTGACCTTGCAGTGGGGAATAACCCTTGATAACCCAGAGTGAACTGCAGCCGGTGACCCTCCAGCACAGACCGAGTTCAGAAGCCACTGTCTCTGTGCCTCTGCCTGGGTGTTGCTTTGAGATTCCCGGGGTTATCAAGGTAATGGAAACAAATTTACTCTTTGCGTTCTAGTCCTGAATCCAGTTCCAGCTGCCTGTCTGTGCTGACTCACATGGGGTGATGGTCAAGGGTGTGTGGGCCCACATGGGATTCTCCTTGATCCTGCTGATGAGGAGGGAGGTGGAGAGAAGGAAGAGTGGATGAATCCTGGTGGTCAACAGTTCTACAAAAATATTTTGGCTTTTTTTTAGTGCCAGGTGATGTCTACTCTTTCATGTCTTTAAAGAGCTGGTTTTTTTTTCCTGTTCCTCTACACTGTTCTACTTCTGAACATCTAATACTGTTCCAGAGGATGTTCTACACTAAAGAAAACATCATCATTACTTTTTTTTTTTGACAGATAGGACAATTAATATCACTAAAATATTGCCCATGCTTGTAGAACAGGAATTTTGCTGTTTGAACTGTTCTCACTGAAAGGATCTGATTACTGATTTGTGTTTTAGCAAACACCAAGACAGTTAGAGGGAAATATTTTAATGAATATCTGGGGGGAAGCTGCCTAGGCTTATTAATTTTCAACGTATTTTCATTCTACATTTCCTAACTCTTTCTGGACCTTTGAGTATTTCTGTCCTCAATGTCTGTTTTCATGAGGAAAAAAAAAATCAGTCTATGTTTAAGAATTGTTCAGAAGTTATTTTGGTTTAGTTGGTTTAATGGACTCTGTTTCCTTTAATGTGCTAAAGTTGCTTATTTACTCTGCTATTTTATTTTTAGTACTTTTTGTTTGAGTGTGTGGGGGTTTGACACCACAAAAATCCAGTCTCCAAGCTTCCCCCCACAATTTACCTCGACACTGAAGAGACATTTTCAGGCAGGCACCACTCAGTATGGGGGGAAGGGAATATATATACAATTTATTACTATACACAAATAAATACTATAGGCAATTATATACAATATTAACAGTCTCTACCACCCCTTGAGCCCTCCCTTATCAGTCCAGGAGAAGAGCTCAGGCTGATAGTTAAACAGTCTCTCTCTCTCATTGGGGTATCAGGGGAAGGCACTCTTCTGCACCCCTACCAGCCCTCAGCTCTTTGCTGAGGTCTCATCTTCATCATGAGGCCCAAGGAGATAGCTCTGAGTCCTTCCTCTTTGGTTCATGAAGGTTTCCTCCCCAGAGAGTAAGATGTTCCATTCTCACCCTCCAGGTTGCAGGCTCTGGGTCTCTGCTCAGTTCTTTTACCCCAAATAGTTTTAAAGTCCTTACCCAGAAAAACCTGCTTGTTTGGCTCTGACACTGCCAACAACTTCCAGCTGTTGTTGATGTCTAATTTTCACAGGAGTGAAAAAGAACAGCTCTGACTGGTCCCTCAGGGGGAATTCTCCTGGGACCAATCACCTCTAGGCCCAGGGCTTCCCTGAACCTGGGGGGGGCAGTTCAAACCAAGACAGTGCCATTTTTCTAAGGGTCATGTGGGTATTTTCCCTGATTATATGCACCGTTTCTCCCCTCAATTTCTTTAATCTTATGAACTGATTATTTGACCACTGAGTTGTCTGTGGTTCAGAGTTTTGATTTATTTGTATGTGCCTTTCACTGGGTTTGAAGGTGGTGAACATCTGGTTATAGTTGACTGAAGTTGGCTTTTAATTTGATTTTTATCTTACTTTTGTGATTTTCATTAGTGGTAACTTGGAATTGTGGAGCAGTTTCCTAATCCTCAGATCCAGTTCTAGGATACAAAACCAATATAGCATTATTTCATCCTGTTTGCATTATCATTGTCACCAAGTGTATTTCTCATTTGTAATCAACAGTTTTTAATCCCAGTGCTGCTATTTTCCATTGTTAACACAGGCAGGTTCATCTGCTCTTCCCTTTAGTGTGTCAAATTGTTTTCTCCTCCTTATTGCTTCACTGCTCCGGGAAAGCTGTGGAATGTGCTGATGTGATACCTTCAGCCTGGCATGACAAAGAGAACAAGCTCAAAACACCTCCTGCAACAGGCCTGGGCTCACACAGGTGCCTCTCACACACCCTTCACTCGCTGGCAAATCTTCCCCAGCAGGGAGACCTCGCCCTGCTTGTCCCTGAGATCTCCGAGGCCGTTAAACAGCCTGTTCCCATTGCAGTGCCACAGAGCACAGCTGTGCTCACAGCCTCCCACGAGCCACACGCTTGAATCCCTTTGGCTTAAAGTTGAGTTCTGCCGTTCTTTTGTCTATGTCTGTCCCGGTGCAGGCCCTCCAAAAAATTACTGGAGGTGCCCCACTACTGTCAGTGACGTGTTGGAGAGAATGTTTAGGTTGTGTTCCACTACATGATACTGAAGAGCCCTCCTTGAGTTCTGCTTCAGAGGAAACGGGAACAGAGGGAGTCCCCCTCTCCTCTAGAAATGTGTCACAGGCAGATGAAGATACATTTCAGAGGTTGTTTGAATTCCTTCAGTCCTTGCTGAAAGGTTGACACTGCTGTTTTCCAAAAGAAAGTATCCTGGCCCTTCCAGCATAATTCTTCTTGTTCCCCTAAAAATCTCCATTTGTATTTTAACAAAATTTTCTCCTTTTTTTGGTGGGGAGATGGGGGGGGACCAGCTCACTCTGAGCCTGTTTTCACACACATCCACCTGATTTCATCACACATTTACAAGAGCCTGTGTCCGTGGATTTTTATTGATGGAGAGCTGGTTCTGGAATACCTGGGTCAAGAAGGCAACTTTTCTCTTAAAGGCTGTGCTGGGAATTCTATTCTTCTGTGGACAGAACCATCCCATTCAACCTTTCTTCCAAAACAGATGTTATTGGTCGTGGATTCTCTAGAGACACTATAAGGGATCATAGGAAACTAGATATTTAAGGTGAAACAGTAAGTCACAACATTCCCTGTGGAGAGGACAGGTAAAAGCAGTGATTTGAAAAAGTGAGCTACAATGTCTGTTGGGGGAAGTCCCTGAGCTGCTGACACCTACAAGAAAAGAGGGCAGTAACAGAAGAAATAAAGTGGCCTTTCCTTTGTATTTGTAGCCTTTGCAAGACATTTGACAATGGCCTGACCATCTCCTATGTTGAATGGCTCCTAGATTAATCCACTGCAGCAATTCTTCCACAGAGCCAAATGGGGGGCAAAGTCTGGGGACAAATGACCCTCCGGCATCTGCAGCTCTTGTAGAGGATGCCTCGGGCACTGTGCCCATGTACACAAGCACATGGATGCATTTGCATGGGTCTCCAAATACCTTCCCTGAAAATCTGCACTTCCAAGTAAAGAAATGAATGGTCAGTCCTCAGAATAAGAACACCTGTGTTTATTCACATGGAACCAAAGACAGGAGTGCAGAGAAGGAATTTTTTTAATCATCTCCTGGGAAAAAAACATCTTGGCAGTGCAGTTCCTGGTGCAGGGCCACTCTCTTCTAAGATACAATTAATTGACTATGGTTATGGGCTGCTGCAACATTCCTGTGAGACTCCCTAAACAATATGAAGTGTCCAAATGCAGTTGACTTCTGCCTTTCCATGGTAAAATTTTAACTCATTCAATGCTCATTTGTTTCTTTGTCATGGTTTCACCACAGATGGCAACTCAGGGCCACACAGCTGCTTTCTCCTTTCCCCTTGGTTGGAGGGGGGAGAGAACTGAAACAGTAAAAATGAGAAAATTCATGGGTTTAATAAAGAACTCAACAGTTTAACAAATAAAGCAAACACTGTGAGTACAAGCAAAGCAAAGCAAAGAATTCATTCACTAGTTCCATCAACACCCAAGAGTTCTGCCTACTCCAGAAAAGCACAGAGGTTACATGGAAATGCAAATGCCATCACTCAGTGTCCCCCCCTTCCTTCTTCTTCTTCTCCCATCTTTAAATGCTGAGCATGATGTGATATGGTCTGGAATACCCCTTTGGTCAGTTGGGGTCAGCTGAACCAGCTGTGCTCCCTCTCAGACTTTGTGCACCCACAGCTACTCCCTGGTGGGTGGTAGGAGGAGCAGAGGAGGCCTTGACTCTCTGTCAGCACTGCTCAGGAATAACTAAAACACCCCTGAATTATCAACACGGTTTCCAGCACAAATTCAAAATATAGTCCCATTCTAGGTACTATAAAGAAATGTACTCCAGCCAGAACCAGCACATTATTTAATAAAAACAAACAAACAAACAAAAACAAATCCCCAAACACCCTGTTTCCCTGGCTCTGTCTGCCTGTGGGAGATACTGAGAAGGAAGTGATAAGTTAACATGTTTGTGGTTTGGGGTGTGCTTGTGGGAGACTGCTGCTGTTATTGCTACTGTTGCATCTGTTTCTGGGAAAAGACAGCCCAGACTAGTCTTGAGAAGTCTGGGAAGAGTCTTGCCTTGCAGCAACCCCAAAAGACCCCACTGGGGTAAAGCCCCTCCTTCCAGTTCTGCCCTGGCCCTGCCTGTGTTTCAAGCACTGTGCCCTTTTCAAGTTCTCGAGTGCTGCAGAAATAGGTGGCCGTGTCTGCAGCTGTTGGTGAGAGCACTTCCAGCAACAGCTGGTTCCTGGAGGGGTCTGCAGAGCTGGTGACTCGGGTCTGGAAGGATGAAGCGATGTGCTGGAGCCCTGTGAAAGGATATTGCAGCACTATGTGCTGCAGCTCTTTGCCAGGAGTCTGCCGGATCCAGTCCCATGCGTAGCTGCTGTCGGTGATGGGGACACCAGAGATGTGACAGGTAAGCGAGACAGACTCTGACATCTTCCCTCCTGTGGGGCCTGAGGCCTTTGTCTGCACTTGGGAAAGGCCACCTGCAACCCCAGGAGACAAGGATGAACAGACAGGAACAGCTTAAGCAGTCACTTAAACTGCTCCGCCACATCCCTGGGTTTCTGCTTGTGATCTCCAGGATCCAGCAGCTGCAAAACCTTGCTCCCTTTAGAATCTCAGATCTGGTAAAGAAACACAGGGTTCCGTAATCTTCCACTGAGCTCCCAAATGACCATCTAGAATTTCCCCATTTCCTCTTCTCACCCCTCAGGGAGCAAAACTCATGAGCTAGACTGAGTGAACATGAGCCCTGCCCAAAACCACAGCAGGGCTGTTCACACCTCACCATTTGCACTGGGTACCCGTAATACTGGGAACCAAGGGAAACAGGAAAAGTTGCTTCTAAAGCTGAAGCAGTTTGGGAGGTGAGAGATGAGCTGACTTGAAAATTGAGGAGAAGACAAGAAGAAGGGTTAGAGCTCATTAGGGGACAGCAAAAGGTACACTCAAACATTTGAAAATTCTATGCTGTGACTACAGGACTCTTTGGGAGCAAACCTGCACATCTGTGGGACACAGCCCCTTCCAGCTCCGAGGCTGGGACACTGACGGGTGGTTTGTGTTCAAGCTCAGCCGATTTCGTATCTCTGTGCAAACAGCACAGAAGTAGCGGGCAGAGTCCCCAGCGTGCAGGAGGTGCAGGCTGAGAGATGCCTCAGAGCGGGAATTGTCCCGGGAGGCTGTGGCTCGACCCTCCACTGCTGGCCCAAACTGAATCTGTGATGAAAAATGGCTTATCCAGGACACCCACTCGACCCCCACTCCGGGTGCCTGACGGTACCAGCGAACATAATGATTCTCGAAGGTGAAGCCGGACCCGCGGCAGGAGAGGAGCACGGACTCCCCGGGCGCTCGGTGCCCTCCGCCGGCCTCCTCCAGCCTCAGCTGCGCCCACAGCCCTGCGGGGGAGAGCGCAGGAATCGGGCAGGGCGCGACCACGGACCGAGCGTGTTCCCCCACTGCCCCGGTGCCCTCAGCCCCGGTACAGACACAGCCACCGCCCCTGCCGCCTCCCCGCTTTTGTTCCAGCCTCTGTCCCTGCCCCTGCTCCCGCCTCTCCTCTCCCGCTCCCTCCTTCCCCAGCGCCGGGCTCGCTGCCCTCCCCGCCCGGCTCTCACCTGCCGGCCCCACAGCGCCATGTGGTATGGAATCGGCCCTTGGCCAGTTGTGGTCAGTTGTACAGCTGGCAGGCAATATGAGAAGCAGAGAAGACTTGGTGCACTGTTCAGCAGTTGCTAAGTCATTGCTGTGTTATCAGCATGGGTTTGGCACAAAACAGAGCAGCTGCCCAGACAGGCTGCTACAGAGAAATTTAATCCCCACCAAACCAGACCAGTACACCTTTGCTGGTTGACCCTGCTTTAAGCAGGATGATTGAATGAAACCTTTCGCAAAGATCCATTACTCTGGATGAGTATCAGTAGTTCAGAGGGGAGAAAATGTGTTATCAACTGACTGAAAGCCCCATTCCCCATCCCAGTGCCCTGATCAGGGTGATGTTTCTAGCTTTGTCCTTATTTCTCATTATCCATCTTTAATTTTATTGACAATAAATGAAATTCATATCCCCATGGCCATACCTTTGCCCATGACAGGAACTGCTGGGACAGCTCCCTGTCCTGATCTTGACCCAGAAGTCTTTCATTGTAAACTTTCCCCCTGCTCAGTTGTGGAGGGGGACTGAGAGAGTGTTTTGGTGGGCAGCTGGTGGACAGACAAGGTCAACCCACCACACCTTCTCTACTTCTCTACTTCTTCTTCCTGATCAGGTGATCTGTAGCAGCCACCCAGAGCAATGTCATCTGTTGCTCTGTCTTTCCTGAACAGCCTGGCTCCATCCTCCACAGAACTGGAACTGGAAGATACCACAACACATCTCCATGATCCCATGGCTCCGTGGTCAAGCACAGAGGAAGAATGAGGCCATGCTGGAGAGAGGCTCAGGCAAAGTGCACTAAAACTGCACTTGTTTAAACAGTCCTTTAAGTTCCCAGAAAAGATCCTCCTGCATCATAAATGGTACCAGCCCTTCTACCACACTTCCCTCCACTGCCTGGACTGCCACCAAGCCAGAGGTCTGTTTCCTGCACCTGCCATTGCCCGAGAACAGCCCCTGGGGAGCAGCTGCCGGAAAGAAATGCTGAGAGATCTGTCCTCCTGTCAGTCAGTTTTTGTTCCACTCTGCTGCAGAGCTGCTCCAGGGTGATTCTTGCACCACAGTAATACGTTGCTGCATCCCCTGGCTTTGCTGCCAGGATCTGCAGTGTGACTCTGTTCTCAGAGCTCTCCACTGATCCCTTAAAGTGATCTTGGAAACCTTCGCCATAGATATCACCTTCCATGTAAATCCATTCCAGAGTGCCACGTGGGTCCTGACGGTACCAGTACATGTAGTAATTCCACATAACACCTTGTGTCGTGCTGCACTGCAAGGTGACTTTATCTCCCTCTCCCACAGTCACTTCCCTGGGGTGTTGCTCCAAGACCACCTGGCCAGTGACTGCTGCAGAGAGAGAGAACATGCCATGACCACTCCTAGATGGTGAGGAACAAACCTAACCTGTCCTTGAAACTTCTGTGAAGTCACATGAGAGAGGCAAATACCTCTCACAGGCAAGTGGGGCTTAGGGCCCTGTGCTGCCATCCTCAAGCTGGGCTTTGCAAGATGGTTTGCAGTGCCCCATGAGCAGTGTCCAGTCCAAGTGCAAAGTGTTCTGGCCCAAGATCTGAGTGCAGCAGGGCCGTGCCCTGCTGTCCCCACCCTGCAGAGGAGGCAGCTGGGATGGAGGTGATGAACTCCCAGCTAGAAGAGGAGGATGGTTGTTCTCACCCTGCTCCACAGGGATGGTGGGACAGGTCGAGCCAGGGAGTAGATCAGGTTGCAAGGGGTCAGCACAGCTCCCCAGAGCCGTGCAGAGCACAGGGGCACGCTCAGTTCCTGGGGGGCATCACCCCTTCCTTTCACTTACCTATAATGGGCAAGAACCCCCCACACAGGACAGTCCACATGGCCAGGCCCATCTGTCTCACCTCTCTCCAGCTTCTCTCTGCCTGCAGAACAGCTCTGCCCACACCTTCCCTGCCTGTGCCTCTGTCACTGCACTCAGGCCCAGTCCCTCCCAGTCCCTCCCTCTGTCTCTGACAACAGGGAGGGTGAGAGCTGGGGGCTGCTGGAGCAGAAGTTGAAGCTGTTGGTGCACTCCCGGGTGTCTCTCACCCTGCAGGTGTAAGAACAGAGTGTTCATTTGGCAGGAAAAGCTCTGCTGTGCAAAAGGTGAGGTGCTGCTGTGGGGCAAACCTGACCTTTCCCCGAGGAAGTTTTGCGGGGTTTGCTGGGACTTTGGAGCTTCCCTGGGAGGGTGGCACATTGTCCTTCCCCTGGGCTCCTGGCCCTTGCTGCTGCTGAGCTGCTGCTCCCACATGGGACCCCCAGGATCCCAGTTCCACTTGGAAAGGGCACCCTTAGGGCAGAAGTGCTCCTCACCCTGCTCCCTCCACTCTCCCCCAGCACCCCTCTCCCTCCCCGTGATGACACTTCTCCAGCTGCCTCTTCCTCTCAAAGCCCTCCCAGATCCCTCAAGCCACAAATGCAGCCCAGGACTCAGCAGGGACCAGGCTGTTGGAGCTGCTCAGCAGAGCCAGGATACTTCCCTTCCCTGTGTCCTCCTGCTCAGCAGGAACCCAGAGCTCTCCCTGTGACCACAGGATGTGACACCTGTGAGCCCTGACACACTGTCACCATCCTGGCTGCCACGACCCTTTTGGGGAGCATTGCCCACTCCACAGTGGCCCTGCACAGACTGTCTGAATCCATTCCTTCCCCTCTCTTTTCCTGGGTAACAGAACATGGTCCCTTTTGGATGGGATTGTCAGGACAGGAGTGGGAAAAGGGACTTGGAGAGGGTAGAGGAGCCCACTGAGAGTGGAGGTTTGAGGCTGGGAAAAGAAGCAAGGGGATGCAGGGCCAGGCAGAGCTGTGGTGCCCTGGGACACTTGGGGCTGCTCCAGCATTGTAGGACATGCCAGGTTCCCTATGGTCCCAAGGCCATGGAGGATTTGTTTATCTTGGAGGAAAGAAATGTGAGGAGGTCCCTCAACCTTCTCAGCTCCTGAGGAGGGGAAGTGGAGAGGGAGGTTCTCCATGTTACACAGTGATGTGGGAATGGTTTAGAGATGCACCAGGAGAGGTTTAGGTGGGATATTAGGAAGCATTTCATTACTCAGAGATTGGTAACACATTGGAACAGGCATCTTGAAGAGGTGGCCAATGCCCCAAGCCTGTCAGTGTTTAAGAGGTATTTGGACAATTTCTTTTGAAACATGCTTTTAATTTAGTTCAAATCTGAAAGTAGTCAGACAGTTGGACTAGATGGTCATTGTAGCTCCCTTTCAATTGAAATGCTCTTCTCTTGCCTCTCCCCTGCCATTCCCTCCCCTCCTTTCCACTGGGAGCACCCAGGCACAACGAGACCCCATTTGTCTGACTGCAGGCACAGCCCACTCACTGACTCCCCCCTTGCAGGGCCTGTGTCCCAACTGAACATGCAGGAGGGGAGGCAGCAGGGGAGGAAGCTGATGTTGAGGCACACCCCGGGTGCCTCTCGCTGTGGTGCCTCCAGGCTGCAGTAATAGGATGCACTGTCCCCCTGCTCCAGCCCGGTGATGCTCAGTGTCCCAGAGCTCTTGTCAGCCTGCAGGAAAACCTCCTGTGGGCAAAAGGGGCTGTGTGGCTGTAGGAGCCTCCACGGCCCTGGCACTGCAGCAAGTACTGCAGGTGTCCACCAGGACGCTGCTGATACCAGGCCACGTAAATGTAGGAGGCGTTGGAGCTGTAAGTGCATCGTAAGGTCCCAGTATTCCCTGCTGGCCACCACACTGCAGACCTTGTTGGTTGGATCTCATCACCCCAAAATGCATCTGAAACAAAAGCGGGCCTGTTCCATCACTACTTTGCTTTTTCTGGTGCCAGGAGATGGCCCAAAAGGGTCAAAGAAAGCAGGCAAAGGTGTTGTTAAAGCCCAGGTGCTTTGGGTGCCCCACAGAAGAAGGGGATCAAAGGAAGGCAGAGAGGGGCTGGAGCCAGGCAGAATGACCAGGCTGGCTGGGTGACAGAAGCACTTTGAACCACTTCTATGGAATAAAACATTGTATTTGGGACTCAGGATATGCCATTTATCATTCTGGGGAAAGAAGCTCTGGAAGACAGGCCAAAACTGCCTTCAGAGAACAGTGATGGCCCCTGATTCCTTGGGAACAGCCCTGAACCACCTCAAAATTCTCCATCTCAAAATGCCGTGGATCCTGTGCCAGCCCCCAGCAGGTTTATGTTAAAGCTCAGCTGGGTTTCCTGTCTTCGTGGGAACAGCACAGAAATATCGGGCAGAGTCCCGGGGCTGCAGGGCCCACAAGGACAGGGATGACTTGGACTGGGAATTGTCTCTGGACACCAAGGCTCGACCCTCCATTGCTGTCCTGTTTCGATTGACAGAGGAATCGGTGCTGATGGAAGACACCCACTCGGGTCTGCCTCCGGGTGCCTGACGGTACCAGTAAACGACATAAAGCCCAAAGTTGAATCCGGACCCGCGGCAGGAGAGGAGCACGGAATCCCCGGGAGCTCGGTGTCCCCCGCCGGCCTCCTCCAGCCTCCACTGCGCCCACAGCCCTGCGGGGGAGAGCGCAGGAATCGGGCAGGGCGCGACCACTGACCGAGGACGTTCCCCCACTGCCCCGGTGCCCTCAGCCCCGGCACGGACACAGCCACCGCCCCCATCCCTCAGTCCCTGTCCCTACGTCTTCCCCAGCCCCTGTCCCAGCCTCTGTCCCTGTTCCAACCTCTGTCCCTGCCCCTGCTCCTGCTCCCGCCTCTCCTCTCCCGCTCCCTCCTTCCCCAGCGCCGGGCTCGCTGCCCTCCCCGCCCGGCTCTCACCTGCCGGCCCCAAGGCCAAGGCCAAGCCCAGCAGCCACGGCCCCAGCCCGGCCGACATCGTGCCCGGCCGCGGCCGAGGGCTCCGCGGGAGCCGCCCCCGAGCCGAGCGGAGCCGCGCTCGGGCCGCTCCTGCCCGGCCCCGCCTCGCCGGGGCAGCGCCGGCGCCTCTGCCCGACCCCACAGACCCGCCCCGGCCCCCCCGGGGCCGCGGGAGAAGGGGGAACTCGGGAGAAGGGGGAACTCGGGAGAAGGGGGGCGCGGCGAGGGACGCGGGCAGCAGCGTAGGCGGAGGAGCAGCGCCCCGAGAGATGAAGGCTCCTGTCCGGGGCTCCCAGCGCGGCTCCAGCGCTGTCCCGCCTTCTCGCCCTATGTGCCCTTCAGAAGGTGTCGGCGCCTCGGCCCCGTGCAGCCGGGGCGACCCCATCCCCGGCCCCAGCCAAGGGACGGGCTGTCGGCCCGCAGCGTCCCCTCCAGGACCCTCCTCCTGCCCCGCACTCTCGGCCCGCCCTGGCATCGCCCCCATCCCCTGCCCTGGGGAGCAGGAGACAGGCAGGTCAGGGACAGTCAAGACTGCTTACCCTGGAGAAGGGAAGGCTTTATCTCTGTATAGAAACATGTGAAGAGGGAATGCAAAGAAGACGGGGCCAAGCTCTTTCCAGTGATGCTTACTTACAGATCAGAGGGCAATGCACCCCAGCTGAAACACAGGAGACACATTTTTACTGTGATGGTGACTGAGTTTGTGGCATCTCCATGCTTTGAGATATTCTGTAGCTGTCTGGACATGGTCTTGGGCAACTGCTCAAGCAGGCAGGAGGGACCAGATGACCTCCTGAGGTACTTCCCAACTTCAATCTTGCTGTGATTCTGTAACACTCATAGGCACATTCAAGGCTTTGCAGGTAATTTGTGCAAGGTGTGGCAACAACCCTCCCACTCCTACTCCCATGGCCCACACTCTTCTTCCCCACAGGACACAGCTACCTGTCCATCACCCAGCCCTTAACTCCTAATCTTCCCTCCCATCCTTTGCGCCATGTTGCTGTCTTTGTGTCCTACAGGCCTGTCTTGATGGGGACCCCTGTCACTAGGCCCTCTGTTGCCCCATTCCACACAGAAAAACAGCAGGTCTGGGTGGATAGTGGGAACTGCTGATAGGGAGGTGCTGGGGCTTCATGGAAATGCTGGGATCCTTAGGATTTGGGTCCTCCAGGGTGGGAAAAAACACACAGAGATGGAAGTCCACGTAGCCACAACTGCTTCCTCTCACCTTCTGTGGCTTTTGGCCACATTTTGCCTGTCTGCACCCCTTTTACCCCACCCTGGCCCACCATCACCCAACAGTGCTCCAGGCACAGTGTCATTACTGCCTTGGCACTGCTCTGGCCTGTGGCAACTCTGATGCCTGGAGGTGCTAAAGAGCAAGTAGTTGACATCATCAGGGCACCCTCGGGTGTCCTTTCTGTCAACCCCACCAGGACAATAGAAGGTGTACTTCAGTTCCAGTGGGGTGATGCCCAGCATAGAGCAGTTATGGTCGGCCTTGTGGGAAAACTTCTTGAGGGCAACAGGACCTGTGAGGCTGCTGGAAGACCTTGGTCTTTCCGCAGCATCATGTGCTGCATGAACCCACTGAGATGTTTCTAGGACCAGGCCACTGCAATATAGCAGCCATTGGACTGAAAGTACATCACAGAGTCAGTACAGGCCCTACTCATCCCTGCGTGGCAGACCTCGTTTGGATCCTCTCACCCAGAAACACGCCTGAAAATGCAGCATCATCACTTCAACCTGCTCATGGCAACAGACCAAGTGTTTTGAGTGCCCTCAGTGGTCCTAACCACAGGAGGCTGTTTTCCAGAGACAACTTTGAGAAACCTTTAATAAGCTGACACATGGGAGGGCACAGGCTTATACTGGATTGCACCCAGCTCAGGACAATCTGCAATGAGCTGTGCTGTACACTACCCTGATGCAGGATAAACTGAGCTGGCAAATCCTAGTGGGTGTGCCTGGAACTGCCACCCATATGGTGTCTGTTCTGATGTATGTTCTTATCTTTACCACAGTTTCAGATGCTGGGAAACCACTACCCTGGTGCATTAGCTGGCTGGTTGAACGTTGTCACTGTTTCATAGATTGATGCCATCTGTAGTGGCTGCTCATCCTATGACTGCCCCGCCCACATGGGAAACTGCCGAAAAGGAAACAAAGACAGTGTTTCCTGGGATTGAAATATAGGTGCCCATTTTTCCTCACAAGAGGTCAGTCTGCTGGTGGCAAAGCAAATCCACACGTTGGCACCTGCAGCAGCCAGACTGTGAACAGCTGCCTTGGTATAGCGTTTGTATGGGCACAGACAAAACAGATGCACGTGTAGCTGTTAAATCAACGTATCGTCATCGTCATGGCCAGGCTTCGCGGACGAAGATTTGGGAAAGGGCTCTACCCATGTTTGTCACAAGCACGCTGGTGGCTAAAAAGGCCAATATGAGATAGACATGTCCAATTGCAAAAGGCACAGCAGAAAGACTCCTTAGATGGTAAATTCTGCAAGGCACGATTCTTTCTGCATTGTCTTTTCCCTCAAGGGTGATCCTGCGTGCATTCTCAAAGGCATCAGCAGCATTATAGATGGTCTGTCTCCAGACCTCCCAGTTGGAGGCCAGAGTAGACCAGTTATGGTGATCAATATGGCCAAGGTTGAGATGTTGTTTCAGGGAGTCCTTGTATCTCCTCTTTGGGGCTCCTCTCTTGCAGCAGCTGCTGGCAAGTTCACCATAAAGCAAGATCTTAGGGAGGGGGTGGTCCTTCATCCTGGAGACGTGCCCTGCCCAGCCCAGCTGTGTTCTCAGCAACATGGCCTCAATACTTGTGACTGCTGCTTGTTCTAGAACAGATGGATTGGTCACATCATCTGACCAGGGGATGTTTAGGATTGTACAGAGGCAGTGTTGATGGAAGCGTTCCAGGAGTCGCAGGTGGTGGCGGTAGATGACCCATGATTCGGATCCATATAAGAGAGCAGACAGCACTATGGGTCTGTAAACACTGATCTCGGTACTTTTCTTCAAGTGTTTATTTTGCCAAACTCTTTTGTGGAGTTTTCCAAAAGCACTATATGCCTTTGCTAATCTGTTGTTTATCTCTCCATCAATCTCACCATCCAAGGAGATGAGGCTGCCCAGGTAATTAAACTGCTGGACTGATTTGAGCTCTGATTGGCCAATGGTGATATGGGGATGATGGAAGACTTCCTGAGGTGCCAGTTGATAGAGAACTTTTGTTTTCTTTAAACTGACTTCCAGCCCAAAGAGCTCAGCAGTGTCTGCAAAGCAGGATGTTAAACACTGCAGAGCTGCTTCTGTGTGGGCAACAAGGGCGGCGTCATCAGCATAAAGCAGCTCCTGGACAAGATGGTTTAAGGTCTTGGTGTGGACCTTCAGTTGCCTTAGGTTGAAAAGCCTTCCATCAGTACGATATCAGATGTAGATACCATCCTTATCCTTGAGGTCTGACGTGGCCCTTTGGAGCATCCTGCTGGAAAAGATTGTGAATAGGGTTGGTGCGAGAACGTAGCCTTGTTTCACACCATTAGTTATTAGAAAGGGCTCAGAAAGTGCATTGCCATAACTGACTTGGCCATATTGGTTCTCATGGAGTGAGATGATAATTTTGAGGAACTTGGGGGGACAACCTAAGCATTCCAAAATGTGCCATAGACCTTTTCTGCTCACAGTATCGAAAGCCTTGGTGAGGTCAACAAAGGTTACATAGAGACCTTTGTTCTGTTCCCTACACTTCTCTTGCAGTTGTCTGAGAACAAATCCCATGTCTGTGGTACTCCTGTTGGCTCTGAAACCACACTGACTTTCAGGTAGAATTCCTTCTGCTATAGCGGGTATTAGTCTGTTCAAGAGTATTCTTGCCAGGATTTTGCCAGCAATGGAGAGCAGAGTAATACCACGGTAATTTGAGCAGTCTGATTTAACTCCTTTCTTCTTATACAAAGTGATGATGACTGCATCACAAAGGTCTGATGGTAGTTCGCCTAGTTCCCAACAGCATAGTAAGAACTCGTGAAATTTAGCATGGAGTGCATGGCCCCCATGTTTCCAGACTTCAGGTGGAATTCCATCAACCCCAACTGCCTTGCCAATTTTCACCTGCTGTATGGCCTTGAGGGTCTCTCCTAAAGTGGGAGCAGTATCCAATCCATACTTCACTTGTTGTTGTGTGATGGACTGAATGACTGTGTCTTGGACTACACGGTTGGTACTGAAAAGGGTCTGAAAGTGTTCAGACCATTGATTCAGAATGGAGGTTTTATCTGTTAGAAGTGTTTGACCATCAGTGCTGAGTAGAGGACTTTGAGCTTGGTATGTAGGCCCATATGCTGTTTTCAGGGCTTCACAGAACCCTCTGTGATCGTCCGTGTCTGCACATAATTGTGTTTTTTCAGCTAGACTGATCCACCACTTGTTCTGGATGTCACGGAGTTTCTGTTGGAGCTTGTTGCATGTGATGTGAAAGCTGTTTTTCTTATGTGACCAGATGGCAGTGCAAGGTGTACTTGGTGGGTGGTTCTCTTCATCCTCAACAACTCCTGGATCTCTTGAATGTTTTCATTGAACCAGTCCTTGTTCTTCTTGAGGGAGAACCCTAAGGATTCTTCAGAGGACTGCTGGATGCTGTTTTTAATATGGTGCCAGAGTGTTACAGGAGAGATATCTGTAGTATCTGTGGAATGGTTATCAAACCTAGTTTGAAGATTAGCCTGGAATTTGTTTCTCACTGTGGCTGATTGGAGATCGTTGACTTGGAGTCTCCTCCTTGGGATGCTGCCCCTTTTAGGTTTGAATTTAAGAGTGAGGTTAAGTTTACAGCACATAAGCCGATGGTCTGTTTGGCATTCTGCACTGGGCATCACACGGGTGTGGGGGACATCGCGGGCATCTCTCCATCGCACCAAGACATAATCGATGAGGTGCCAATGTTTGGACGTCCACTATCTGCAGAATCGAGCATGGTCGTTAAATCAACTATTCACACGCTAACAAGTCCTTATATACCTCCTGTGACATCACATATTTCCCACAGTTGTTAGTCAGTCCTTTCAGTGGGCATACTCTCTCCAGGGGCTTGCTGTGGCCAGTACATCTCCCATGGTTCTTTGTGACACTCTTCTTAGACACTGTTAACCCTTTCTGCCACACCTTGGCAGCATCAGGCAGCGCATTGCCCAGAGAATGCTGGGCTGGAGGGGCACATGCCAGGGCATCAGGCATAAACAATGGTCATAGGGATCTCATGTCAAAGTTTGCAATGGGCTGCTGTGAAACAAGAGTGGCCAAGTTATGGAAGTCACCACTGGCCAGTCTCTCCAGGATTTGAAAAATACTGCTCACTTCTGTAGGCCAAGGCCTTCTAAGACAAGTCTTTCCACCAACACAACCTCAGTGTTGGGAACCCAAGGGACTGATCAGCTTCTGTGGTCACACAGTACATGTAGGCATTGTCCTGCAGGTGACAATGGCACAAAGTCTTTGGACATGTGCATTAATTATTCCGTGGGTAGACCCTTCTACATCCACTCATACCATCTCAGTAGACATTCAAAGATGTCACCAAGGGGCTGTAGCTAAAAGCTGTTGAAATGGTGTCACAGAAGACCCTTGCACATCCTGAACCAGGCAGCAAACATGCACTTTAACAGCCCTACAGGATGAAACAACATTCCACAGAAAGGGAAGATTGCTACTGCAGTCGTCCTCTGTTAGTCTAGTGATAGTCGGACTTCACCCATATTGCACACATGGACCTGCTGTGGCCACGAGAGAGCCTTTCTATACAGAGAGAACAGTAATAATGAGATAAAATAGAACCAGTACCAGTAATAACAATAGAATAACAATCATTACTATAAATAGAATGACAGAAAACATAATGCCAGCAGTTAATTCAGCTATAGTGAATCTTCTCAAAATGTTAGAAACTAGTGGCTTCCTTCTTCTAGAAATTTGGACCATGAAACACTGTCCTTGTGGGAACTGAATGACCAACACAATAAGGAAGAGCTCTTAAGTCTGCCGAATGAGCAGCTCACACTGCTGTTGCCAAGTGCTGGGCCATCTCTGGTGGTTTTACCTCCAGCACCACTTACATTCCACACCCGTTCTCATGCCCATTATTTTTTTCACTTGCCACTCTGTCGCAGGGTATCTATCATAGTAGTTAGGTTTGGCCGATAGAAAAGCACACACACACGCTGCACAAGGAGTTTAGACAAGAGCTGTCTGCCACGTCAGCGCAGCAGCATCCTTTATTAGGACAGCTAGCCCACATTTTCTCATACACTTTCTGTAAATAACATAATTCCTACAAAACACCACCACCATGCACCTGTACCATGAACACAGCCAACATTCTCGTCCTTGTACATTTTATCCTCCCTAAACCTACTTATCAGCTTTCCAATTAACTCCCAACTTCTCAAGGCTGCTCTGTTCATGGGAATGGTCAATTAGCTTCTCTGCTCTCACGGGAATGGTCTTATGCCATCCAATATATTATGCTCATCTATGGGTTCAACTTCTAGGGGTTCAACGGGCCTATCACTTCCCCCCACACCCCTCCACTGGTATTAATATTTACAGTAATTGCTCTGTATGGAAGAAACCTTTTAGCTGCCAGCAAGAGCTGGTAGCTTCTGCATCTAACCAGGAAATTAAAGTACCCTTAAACAGGTCAGCACTATGTGGGTCAACTGGTGCACTGCAGTGGTGCCAGGAGCCAGAGCCTCACCCACAGGGGATGTGGGGATGCACTTCACAAGTGCTCTGGAATCGACACAGGTTTATTCTGTGCCCTCCTGTACTGCTCATATCACCTGACCTTCCCACCTGTGCTGGGCTGGGCTGTACACATCCCTCCTTGCAGGATGAACACAGCCAGCTAATCACAAAAAAATGTCCAGAGGCAGCGAGCCCTTGGCAGCAGCAGTGAGGGCATTGCAATAGCCTTGGATTTCACTTGGAGGGAAGCAGCAGCTTTGCCTCTGCACCACAGAACTTCTAAGAAAACCCTACCAAAATACCAAAGATTGCAACAGCATAGATCAGCAGCAGGATGGGGATCTGCAAAGTCTGCTGGGTCCTGAGTGGAATCCCACCTGATGCTGTGACAGTGTGGGGCTCCCAGCACCATCCCCCATGTAAGACTTCATAACTTCCTATCACCTTTCCTGGGATGTTAATAAAAGAGTTCTGTATTGTGAGAGATTAATGGAATTTCTTCTAGCTTTAGAGAGAGCCAGCACCTCCAGGGCAAAACATCATGCATCAGGGAGGGTCTTCAGGGATTAAAATCAGGGAGACAGTCTGGAGAAAGGAGACTCAATCACCTTGGAAAGATCATGGTGTTTTGGGGAGGTTCCTGAGGACTGCTGGAGGAAAGCAAATGTCACTGCTACCTTCAAGAAGGGCAAGAAAGAGGACCCAGGGAACTTCCCTCAAGTCCTGAGATGGCGATGGAGCAACTAATCCTGGAAATCATTTCCAGGCACATGAAGGACAAGAATGTTGGCAGGATTCACCAAGGGGAACTCATGCTGGACAGACTTGGTAATGAACTTCTGTACTGAAATGACTGGCTTTGTAGGTGAGGGGAGAGCAGTGTGTATTGTCTGCCTTGATCTCAGGAAGGCTTTCAACACTGTCCTCCAAAATAAGGTTGTTCTAGAGAAGCTGATGAAGTCTCAAGTGAATGAGCCACTGGTGATCTGGACTGAACAATGGACAGACAGATGGTCCCCAGGTATGGTGGTCAGTGGCATGAGATGTAGCTGGAGGCCAGGATCTAGCAATGCACCCCAGGGGTCAGTGTTGGGTCCAGTCCTCTTTAACATCTTCAGCCGTGATCTTGAGGATGGATTAAAAGAATCCTGTCATGTGAAAGGTGGGAGTTTAGATTTTTGCCTGTCGGTACCCCCAGGAAAGCTGAAATCCTGGTACCTGACAGTCTGTCAGCATCTCATAATGAGACCCTTCACCAACAGATTCACAAGGTTGGAGGTCATTTCAACCACCCTTTCAGTGGGGGCTCAACAAAGCGAAAACCCTTCAGCAGGTCCTGCCAAGGTGTTTTCCACTGCCGGCAAGTGTAAGGACTCACTTCAGCAGTTCATGGATTTTTTAATACAAATTGTGACAGGTTAATAAGGTTTGAAGGTTGTCGGTGATAGTGTCTATTGCAAATATACATTTTAAAGTAATATACTGATACATATATTAAGCAAGCACAAGCTCTAATACAAAGCAATTTAATAATATGCCATGGGGTGAGTGCAAACACAAGCTCTAGTTCTAAAAGCAGCATTCAACGCACTTAGAATGTATTTCTCACCCAAGATGTCCCTCTATGGAGGGAGAAGATGGGCTCATCCTGTTGACTGACCCTAGCAGTTTTGCTGGAGGTCTTCTCCCACTTTCCTCCTACCCCCAGTTTACTTTTATACAATTTTCTTTATGTTTGAGTGGCTCAAGTCATAAATATCTTTTATTTCTGATCGGTGTACCTAATGGGAGGGGGAATGGTCTTGGCTTGGCACCTGAGGAGGGGGTTTGACATGGTTGTTGGCTTCAGCAGCAGAACAGCTTGATTCTCCCTTGTCAGACTGCGACACGACATGGTTGTGCTGCCACCCAGAGGGACCTCGTCAGGCTGGAGAAATAGGCTGACAGGAACCTGAGGCAGGTCAACAAACTGTACTAGTTTTTTGGTGGGATAGAGTTAATTTTTTCATAGTAGCTTGCACAGTGCTGTGTTTTCTATTTGTGATCAAGCAGTGCTGATGACACTGACAGGGGGATGTTTTAGCTGCAGCTCAATAGTGCTCACAGAACATCAAGGCCTTCTCTGATTTGCATGCTGCCCCAACAGTGAGTAGGCCTGGGATGCAGGAGATGCTGAGAGGAGAAACAGCCAGGACAGCTGATGCCAACTGAGTAAAGGATTACTCCATACAGTAATACATCATTCTTAGAAATATAACTCAGGGAAAGAAGGAGGAAAGGGGCTGTTTGGAGCTGTGGCATGTGGTACACAGACTGCAGCCTCACGGCGTGAGGGTGACCAAGCCCTGGTACATGTTGCCCAGGCATGTTGTGGAGTCTCCATGCTTGGAGATCTTCACAAGCTCTTTGGTTGTGACCCTGGGGAAGTGGAGCCATTTGTGAAGCGTTAGGAACTGACCCGTCACCCCACTCCCCATTGCCCCTGAGCCTTTTGGACAGAAGAGGCAGAGAATTCAGGAATGCAGGATTAAAGGTGAGGCTAGGATGAAGAGGGGATTCAGTGGGGCCAACGTGTTTTGTTGCTGCACAGTGAGCACCTGAATCCTTGGGAGCAGCCATCCACTCCTGGCCCCTGGCAACTCTCCCCTTCCCCACATCTAACACACCCTGTGCTGGGCCCAAGCAGGTTTGTGTTAAAGTTCATCTGGGTTTCCTGTCTCCATGCAAAGGCGTAGAAGTATCGGGGAGAGTCCTGGGGGTGCAGGGCCCGCAGAGACAGAGATGACTGAGGCTGGAAACTGTCCCGGGAGGCTGTGGCTCAACACTCCACTGCTGCCCCGTACTTCATTACATTGCCCGAGGAGATGATGGAAGACACCCACTCGAGGCTGCCTCCCGGTGCCCGACGGTACCATCGAATTCTGTAACCCCCGAAGCTGAATCCGGAGCCGTGGCGGGAGAGGAGCACGGACTCCTCGGGAGCTCGTTGCCCTCCACTGGCTCCTCCAGCCTCCACTGTGCCCACAGCCCTGTGGGGGAAAGCGCAGGAATCGGGCAGGGCGCGACCACGGACCGAGGACGTTCCCCCACTGCCCCGGTGCCCTCAGCCCCGGCACAGACACAGCCACCGCCTCCACCTCCCAATTCCTGTCCCTGCGTCTTCCCCAGCCCTTGTCCCACCCCTGTCCCTGCCCCTGCTCCCGCCTCTCCTCTCCCGCTCCCTCCTTCCCCAGCGCCGGGCTCGCTGCCCTCCCCGCCCGGCTCTCACCTGCCGGCCCCAAGGCCAAGGCCAAGCCCAGCAGCCACGGCCCCAGCCCGGCCGACACCGTGCCCGGCCGCGGCCGAGGGCTCCGCGGGAGCCGCCCCCGAGCCGAGCGGAGCCGCGCTCGGGCCGCTCCTGCCCGGCCCCGCCTCGCCGGGGCAGCGCCGGCGCCTCTGCCCGACCCCACAGACCCGCCCCGGCCCCCCCGGGGCCGTGGCCCCTCGGGGACACAAGAAGGGGGAGGCAGTATGGAAAAGAGCCTCTGCACTCCTACCGCCTTGGCCCACACCACTCCACTTCACACTGCAGAGCTCATCCTTCCCCACCGCTACTGCACCCCCACATGCTCCAGATCGTCCTTCCCAGATTTACAACCTCTTCTTGCCCTTGTTTCCTGCTGGGCTGTACGAGTGTCCTGTGGGTGACCAGTGATATTGGACTAGGCCGCTGTTACTTCCACTTTGAGGAAACAGCAGAGGGGCAGTGGGAGATGGTCCTCATGGAAGTGCTGCACATCCTCCTGGTGTAAAAGGAGATTTCTAGGGAAGTGGAGGGCCATGAGGCTGTCACAGTCTTCCCAGTGGAAAAGCAGCATCAAGCTTACCCTCCTAGGGGCTGCTGACATGGTTCTGCCTTCTTAGGCATCAGAGCAGAGATAACACTTTTACAGGAAGGTGAGGAGTCTGCATCTGAACTGAGAGAATAAACCTGCAACCATCCTTCCTGACCGCAGGGCTACATGGCTGGAAGTCTCTCCTTTCTTGCTGCTTTTGTCTCCTCTCTCACCACCTCTAACACTCGGTCTGGCCTGTCTGTACCTTGCTCCATCACAGTGTCTGCCTTCACACCTTCTTCAGCACACCTCTGAGATGTAGTGCTCAGATCCTTGATGAGTGGAACTCAAAGCGCTGTAGACCCTGACTGTCCCTTTTCTACACTCTGGACAAGGCCAGAATTCTCCCCTTAGACAAACAAAAGGTCCTCATGAATCGGTGAATGTCAGTGCCTGCCTGGAGTGGATCAGAGTATTCGGGAGACGATTTCTCAGGAGAAGTCAGGGACACACATTGCAGCTGACTGGAGTATGCCCAGATTTGTGCTGTGCTGTGTATGTCACTTGGCACCCAGACATTCTGTCACAAGCCTGTGCTTTAGGTAGGAGTGAAACACCATTTTCGCAGGGATGTTTCTTTGCTCAGCTGTAGACACAATGAAAAGCTCCAAAGACAATGGTGTCAGTGAACCTGAGCTCAGGTGGGATTTGCAGCATGTGCCCTGCTGGCCCCGGCCGGCGCTGTGCCCCCGGCCCCGCCCAGCCCCACCCGCGGCGGTTCGTGCCCGACCGCAGCCCTAGCTCTTCTCCCCGTGTCTCCCACGGCGCAGTAATACACCGCCGCGTCCCCAACACGGGGCCCGGAGAGACAGAGGGTGCTCCAGCGACGGTCTGGCGACACCGACACCTGTCCCGCCTTGTCTGGTAGCTCTTTGGAGCCTTGAACAATAAGTGCGAGGAACTGGGGGCCTCGGCCCCGGAGCTGACGGTACCAGTGGATATAGTCACCAGTCCGTGTGGTCGGGTGTGAGCAGTTGATGGTGATTTCCGTGCCCTCGGGGGTTTGTGCCAACGGCTCCTGCTGCACCTGGGCTCTGCCCGCAGCCACTGTCAGAGAGACAAAGAAGAAAAATATCAGAATTTCTTTTTGTCCTGTGAGTTGTTTCTCAGAAGAAATCCTGCAGAAGCAGTCAGGGACATACAGAGATGATGAGGAGAAGAGTATCCAGAGGATGTCAACATGTGCAGTAATAGAAATGTCAGTCACTAGTGGAGACATGAATGTGTGAATAATAGGCAAAAGAAAGACAGAGAGGAAAGGAAGGTGCAGTGATAGTTGGACAAAGAAGAGAGGCGTGAATTTTCTGAGGAAATGTGGGATGGTGTATTGGGAGGGATGGACTGCACGATGATTCAGGGACAGAGGTCCGTGAAGAAGCCAGAGGGGACGGCAGCTTCCAGAGACCTGCGTGGCCACCCCAGCCCCAGCCCCGACCCCCACGGTCCCCCGCCGCCAGCCCCGCGCACCGAGCAGCACCGCGGCCAGCGCCGCCAGCCCCGCGCCCCGCCAGCGCCGCATCCCGCCGCTCCGCCGCCCGCGCCTCGCTGCCCCCGCCAGCCCCGGCTCTCGGCTCCGGACGGGCCGCCTCCCCTCCCATCCCCTCTGCCTTCTCCCTCCCCTGCCCTCCTCCGCCAGCTCCGCCCCGGGGCTGAGCCCTGCGCCGGCGCCGCTCGGGCTCTCGCCGGGGGCGGGCTGGATGCCGAGGGCAGGCGAGAGCGGCGGCAGCGCGGCGGCGGTCGGGGCTCTGCACTGCGGGGCGGCGGGGCCGGGCTGGCTGGCAGAGGAGCGGGTTGGTATCGGGGAGCTCAACATGGACAGGCCATGAGCTCCTTTCACCGCCATCATCTCTTCCCTCACATCCCTCCTTCACTGGCACCTGGGGACTCCTGAATTGTCCTCCAGGGCACGTGCTTGTAAGAATGGTCGAGGGGCACGAGAGGCAGAACATCCCTCCGGGCTCAGCATCCCGGGCTTAGCCTCTCCTGGCAAAGAAGAACCTTCTGAAGTTCAACAAGGGCAAATGCAAGGTCCTGCACTTGGGGAGGAACAAACCTGGGCACCAGTACAGGCTGGGAGGGAAAGTCTGGAAATATTGTGCTGTAGCTTTACAAGTAAATACAGGAGACAGGATAATAACGGAAGGAAAAACTCATGCACAAGTGGGAGAATTGGTAGCCGTTTGAAGTGTTTTTAACCATGAATCTAAAAGTTCTGACTCCATTTATATTTACTATGATTCTTTGGCTGTCTTCAAGGGGTGCCCTGAGCGGATCTCCTTCTGGGATAAAAATGACTGGCAAGTAAACAGAGTCCTTGCATTCACAGATAATCTGCATCAAAAATTTGTCTTCCATATGGTCCAGACATATCTTACTTTGTTTGCACCCAGTCATTTTGCCCCCACAGCAAATACCGAGGTGATAAAAGTCACCCACAGGTAACAGGGCCTTTGACTGTGAGATTTCCCCCAAGTGCCTGAAGAAGGCACCATCTGCCTCCTCTTGTTGAGCAGGAGCTGTGTAGCAGACGTGTAACTACAGCACCACCTGTGCCAGAGGGGAAGTGTGAGAGCCTCTCCTGGCATGCTGTGCTTACCTCTTCTACCCCTTGTGCCATCCTTGCTCTTCAGGCTCTGATAGACCTGCCCCTCCATTCCCACTTTTAGCTTCTCCTTCTGAATTTGGCTGACATTTGCCAAAATGCTCTTGCTTCACTGTGTCAAACACAGCACCACTGACCAGCAGGACCAGCAGGATCAGTTGAATGCTCCAAGAGGGTCCTTTGGGGACAGAAGCCAAAGCTGCTGAGTGCTACTGCACCCCACTCCTGCCAAGCAGGAGCTCAGATGAGCTCTCAAGGGAGAAGAATTATTTTCTGACTTCTGTGCCGGACTTTGCATCTCACTCTGTGTAAGCAAAGGTAACTATGGAGTTGACACTGAAATGGATCAAGATCCCTTCAGGGGATATACCCGTCCAGCCCTGTGGGACTGATATAGTTTGAAGCTGGCTCCCTGCCAAGTCTCCAAACCTTACCACCAGAAGTCCCCCCCCCCCCCCCAAAAAAAAAACCTCAGGGAGAAGAGGGAGGAAAAAAAACTAAGAAAACCCGAAACGAGAGAGAAACAACCATAGTGAGATATATAAATATATTTACACTTATATACAATTAAAATATACAATTTCACAAGGGAAAGGGAAGGGGGAAGGGAAAGGGAACAAAACTAAACTAAAATATATATATATATCCCAATTAGTGACCCAATATCTAACAACTAAAAGAGTTAGCAAAGAAATAGCTCACTACTCTCCTGGGACAACCGAGAGTCGCTCCGGAACGATCGCCGGCAACCTCTGTCTCCCAAGGTCGGCAAGGCCCAACCAGGCCTCGCTCCCCAGCCCGGCAGACTCAACAGCAGGGAACCTGCACCTCCAAGCCGCCGGAAGGAAAGAGAGCGAAGGCCTCTCCTCCTTTCTTCTTATAATCTGGCTTACGTAAAAATCGTAGGGAATACTGGGTAAATCTGGGCCCTTCCTTGGTTACAAACTGGTCACCAAGGAAGGCCCAGACCAAACCACCACAGGGACCAACTTGGAGTTCAAAGATATTCCCATGTAGAAGCTCTTTGAGCCCAGACTCCCTGCCTTGGAGGAAAGGACCGCACCAAACCATCTTTGCTACTGGCACCATTTATAGAATCAGAATCATAAAATAATTGGGCTTGTAAGGGACCTTGAAAGACCATCTAGGCCAATCCCCTTGTCATGGACAGGGACATCTGTCAATTTGTCATTGAATCACCTGGTCAAAGCTCCACCTAACCTGACCTTGTACACTCCTAATTATGAGGCATCCATCTCTCTGGGCAAATTCTTCTAATGTTTCACCACTCTCATCCTAAAAAATTTATTGATTCTGTCTAATCTAATCCAATCCAATTCAATCCAATCCAACCTAATCTAATCTAATCTAATCTAAATCTACCTTCCTTTCATTGAAAACCACTTCTCCTGTCACTACTGTTAAAATGTCTCTCTCCATCTTTCTTATAAGCCCCCTACAAAACACTGAAATGCCACAACAAGGCATCCCCAGAGTCTTCTCCTCTCCAGACTGAACAACCCCACCTCTCTCAGCCTTTCTTCACACGAGATGTGTTCCAATCCTCTGATCATTTTCATGGCCCTCCTCAGGACTTGCTCTAACAGATTCCATAGACTTTTTCCACAGTCAATAAAGAGACATCAGCTCACCCACCGGACTTGTGCCAGCCCAAAGCAGATGTGCACAGGAAATGGCAGGAATCCTCTTTCTGGGGACACAGATCCTGCAATCGACCAGTAATGGCCTCTGAACTTCCCCACTAGAATAAACTCACAGCAGGGCCCCCAAACCTGGTCACATGTGCGTGGGTTGTTTCATCATGGGATCACAAGTGAACCCACAGGCTGTCCTGCCAGAGCCTCCAACACCTCCATGCCATGGCCTCCAACCCCACACCCATGTCCATGGATAGGGCACATAGAGAGCAGGGACATGGTTTCATGGTCAGCAAACAGGCTCAAGCTGAGCATATTACTCTCATTAGCTGCAGCTCTACATTACACCAAGCACAGGTCAGTTTTGTCTCAACCTCACTGAAGCCTGGGACACAAGACTTGCAGAAAATGTCAAGTCCAACACCTGTGTGGTGGCCTTGGACAGTTTAGGCAGCCTCTCTCTGGAGGTGACTCCAGATACCTAAGGGATGAGACATGTGTGTGTCTTTGCGTGTGATAAGCTATCTGTCGAGCTTATCTTGAGTGTCAACAGAAGAAAAACAGGTGTCTGTAAGGCCTGGATTGCCTGAACTGTGGGAGACAGCATATTTTGTAAGGGCTGAACCAAGGCTTGAGAGTGCCTATTTCTCTCCACTGATGATTAATGGAGCAAAGACAAGGACCTCAACTGGAGACACCTTATCTGGAGGCAGAGGAAATCAATTTTCTTCTACTAAGGTTTTGTCTGACTTTGAACTGAAATCTTTGCTTAGTTCTTCAATTAAGACTGAAGACATAGGCCTTAACTACATTTAGAGGCTCTGAAATGAGGTAGGTGAATCCCTTAAAGCCTCTGTATTCATGTGCCCATAGTTGCCTTTAGTTATCTCCCACCCTGGAGGTTTCACGACCACCTTAGTATCCATCACCAAATACTTGACACTTCCAGTCTCTTGGGACATGACTATTTCAGACATCTGCATGTCAGCAAATGGATACACGAGAGAGCACTGAGTTCCTGACAAGGTTCTCATACCACAGCTGCAGGCAGGAAGCAAACACCCAGCAAATAGGCACTTAGGGAATTGCACTGCTGTTCTTTAATCGGCCTGAGGAAGAGAGAGTACTATCCATCTCTGACGAGCCCCTAAGGCCTCCCAAAGGTCAAACTCCCTGTGGCACATAGAAGGAAAACAGAGAACCGTCTCCTAGGTGTGGCCAGCTCAAGCTTCAGTGTGTTAATGAGGAGGGTGTGGGGATGTTCTCATGCTAATGATGCTGGCAACTCTCTGGGGTATGATCTCACCATATGAAGCTAAACTAAAGAGAGTTTACACTCTCTGTGTGCACACAAAGCTCCCTTTAGTGGAAGTGCAGTGGTGGCTGTGGGAGGGAAAAGATCAGGAGAACAAGCTGTCAGTTCCTAGCAGGTGGATGGAGACGAAACTCGGCCAGGCAGTTGTGTACAGCTTGAAGTGAGTCAGCAAGGTGAGAGCTGCTCCTCCATTCATCTCCTAACATCACCAAACCCAGAGTTCCCCCAATAAATCTACCTGTCCCCAATGCTCTCCTTTAGCCAAGGGGACCATGGCTTCCTCGGGAGGATGGTGCATGAAAAGATGTCATTTAGATCACTTCCATTGGCAGCTGTGGTGAGTAAAGCCTGCCCAAGACATCGAGTATAGACTTCCACTGCCTTGCATGTTTAAGGAGAGCTGGACTAAGGAGGATTTCTCTACCCTTTAAATACATGAGATTTCTGGTACATATTGCTGTGGAGGAAGATAGGAGAGAAAGAGATCCTTTAGATGGTGTTTCAGCAACATTGTCTTACACAATCACCTGAGAATGACATATGTACTCCCCTAGACAACTGATGAAGAATCCTGCCTTGTCTGCAAGGAGGATATAAAATATACCCTGCAGTTCAGCAGAGCTCCCTTAAATGGAATTCACCTCAGAGGATTTTGCCTTCAATCACTGAGGCTTGGCATACCTCTGCACAAGTTGAGATGTGCGACATCCATCTAAGGTGCTCACCAAACTCCTGCCTTAGACCTCAGAGACAACCTGGCACTTCTAGAGGGCTTTTATCCTGTATATGAGGCAAAATGGGCCATTTGTCGCTCATGCTTTTTCTCTGTCCATGGAGAAAGAAGGGGGGTAAGCTGAGGAGCTGAGATAAGAGTATTACTCCATAGATATTTCAACTTGGTCAGTAGAAATTCTTCCCCTGACCCTGGGATGGCAAAATTACAAAGAGGTGAATCCTACCTCTAGCAGCTCTGCTGAGAAGCAGAGATCAGTGGAGGACATGGAGATATTTACCAAAGCTTCCTGTGCTGAGACCTGGAAGAAAGCAAATATACAAGACCAGGAGTCCTTGAGCAGTATTTTATGTTAGATATTTCAACTTGGTCAGCAGAAATCTGACTTGCAAAGGCTTTTCCTATGGCTGGAGAGCCTCAGCCTGCTGTCCATACTTTCCTATGTTGGTTTCTTATCTCACAGAAGTGACTACATTTACTGTCTTCTAGATGAGGTACCTGATCCAACAAATAATTCTCCAAATGTTCATTTGCTGGCGTAGGCCTGATTTTCAGGATCAGATCTAGTTGTCCAAACATGTTTTAGCAGAGGAGGATTTCCCTGACAATTTTAACTGAGGATAGATGCCGTTTTTGCATACTGTGAATTTTTAGGGATGGTGGTTTTGTTTCATTACCAGTAGCATCTGAAGAGCCAGCACAGGCAAGCAAACTCAGAGAAACTTTTCTTTCTTTGCAGATGGACCTCAACAGATGGAAGGACATGACAAATGGGACAAATGTGGAAGAATTTGTCCTTCTTGGCTTCCCAGGCACGTGGCATTCCCGAGTGTCCCTTGTGGTGGTGTTTGCACTGATGTACTCCCTGACAGTAATAGGCAACGCATCCATCATAGGTCTCGTGTGGATGAGCAGCAACCTACACACCCCAATGTACTTTTTCCTCAGCAATCTCTCCTTTCTGGAGATCTGGTATACTACGGGTGTTGTTCCCAAAGCCATAGGAGTCATGCTGGGGACTAGCCAGACCATTTCCTTCAGGATCTGCATCCTCCAGTTGTTCTTTATTCTCTCTCTAGGCGCCACTGAGTGTTTTCTACTGTCTGTCATGGCCTATGACCGCTACTTAGCCATATGCTACCCCTTGAGATACAGCTCCCTCATGAACAGTGGCCTCTCCACTCGGCTGGTGCTCAGCTCCTGGCTGGGAGGCTTTCTGGCTGTCTCCCTGCTGGCCTTTCTGACATCCAGGCTGACTTTCTGTGGACCAGATGTCATCAATCATTTTCTCTGTGATATAGATTCCTGCCTTGCCCTCTCCTGCAGTGATACATGGCCCGTGGAGCTGGCAACGTTCCTTGTCTCCATAATTGTTGTGGTGGCTTCCTGTGTGGTCACCCTGGTCTCCTACATGTACATCATCTCTTCTATCCTGAGGATCCAGTCAGTCCATGGCCGGAAAAAGGCCTTTTCCACCTGCTCTGCCCATCTCAGTGTCGTCACCATCTGGTTTGGCTCCACCATGTTCCTCTATGTCAAACCATCAGCCCAGAATTCCCTGGATCTGAACAAACTCGTGAATACCTTTAACACGGTGGTAACTCCTTTGTTAAACCCCTTCATTTACACACTCAGAAACAAAGAAGTGAAGCAAGCTCTGGGACGGGCTTTCCAGAAGAAGTGAAGTGGCTTTTCAAAAGGCCCCAGTGTGAGCAAACAGATTGATCCCTTCCCTCCCCTGACTTCTGCTCTGCAGAGGATCCTCACAGAGTGTAAGTGTGTGTGTGGGCACCCCAGGCAGTGAGAAGCCTCCAGTTCCCCAGCTTATCTCACTCACAGCCAGCTCAAGTTGGGCTGAGCCTCAATTCTACGGCTCCCACCACCCTCTGTTCCTTCTGAGGTGAATCCAGCATGCATCCCAGTGCTTTAAAGAGCAGTGCTTGGAAAGGGTCACAAGCCCCATCAATAAGCTAACAGAGCTGGAGGAGTGGTCCTATCACAGGTTTCTATTCTAGTTTGCCAAGTGCTTCATCTTGTCAGGGTTTGTCTGAATCCCCTAAAGAAACCCCAGCAACTGGCTCACTGTTTAGGAAATAGATGTGTTTCTCCATTTAGTCTGATGTTTTCTGGATGTATCTATGCCCCATTCTTGTGGCTATTTCATTGAATCATACTCTGATTCAAGATAAAATTTGACAATGTCTAATATTTCTACCTGCAGTCACTATTCCTAGCATAAGACTGTAAACAAATTTTACATAATTCCTCTTCTTTCCTCTCCTTAATATCTGAATCTACTCTTTTAATTTTAATTAAAAATATGCAAAATAGTGTGCTTCACACTGGATGGTTCAGATCATTTCCACATCTAAAACCCACATCATTTTTAACAGCCCATTTTGGTCTTTGTTGTGGAAAAACTGTAATGTCACAGCAAAGTGCTCAGACTGCAGAGCTTTGGAAGGCTGGCTGGGAAGCAAGTCTCCCTTCACACTCAATGGGAGGATATTAGCACTTCCAAAGGCCACTTGCTTTTTCCCTCCCAATTTTCATTTCAGAACAGATTAGTCATGTTCTCAAAGCTTTTCTTTCTGCACACTGACCGTGAAGAGTCCATGTGGCCACTTCATAAAGAGGAGGCATCAGCATGACAGACACGCCTTTATGGAGAGTGTGGGATTGATTTCACCTGAGTGTGGAGCTCCCCAACTGAGATGATTGAGTCTGAACTGAACATCTACTCCTTCTAGAAGCAAAGGCACTTCTAGGGAGATTCACCAACCTCCTGGATCCGCCTGGGCACTTGGCTCTTCAGCCTGCATCCAGGCCCAGGCACCACTGCCCAAGGACAGGCTGAGTCCCACCCTTGTCAGCTGTGCTCTCTTTCTCAGTGGCATTTGGGAAAATCCCTGGCACAGCCCACTGAGGCTGCAGAAAAAGCCTGAGATTGGATTTATCCTCAGGTAGACATCACTGCTTGTCATTCTTGCCTGGGAATGATGCAGTTTGGGGAGAATTGTGTCTGTGGAGTGTTGAAGCCCTCTGCAGCCCTGGAGAGCAACAAAAAGCTAGAGCTGGAATGTCCAAGAAATCCGAGACACAGCAGAGTGCAGGATACTGAGAGATGCTGTGAATTCCTCATCAGCACTGCCTGAAGCTCTCTGAGATAAACAGAGGCATGCAAAACCTCAAAGAGGGCTGTCAGAGCAGACCTACATCACCTGGGAGAGGCAGACCACCCTGGAAGAGAAGTAGGAAAACAAACAAGTACCCTTAGGTTTCTCAAGTGAAGTGGATGATGTTTCATGTGCAACAGACTCCAATTCAAAGAGTGGGATCCACCTGGAAAGCCAGCACCCCTAAGCTGAGCTTCCATAAGCAATGCTGTTGCCTGAGAATGTGTTCCCAGAACCCTTCCTTTCGCTCATGGGAGGAAGAAAGATCACTGAGATATGCTTACCAGCTGTTGGACGGAAAAACTAGCATGGACTCAGGAACATAGGAGCTCCCTCCAGCTCCAGGGATTTCCCTGAGAAGAAGAAAATACATGAAAAAGAGTGAGACCTCTCTCTGGCAGTGGATGAGTGCAGGAAGAATGTTGTCCAGAGTCTGGCTGGTGACTGTTTTCCCCTTGATGACGCAGGGCAAGGAAGGGCTCTTCACTTCTTGGGCTACTGTGACCACATGGCAAAACCATAAAAGCAAAGGCCTACCAAAGGCTGCATTCCCCATCTGTGGCCATCAGTGGAGGCCCATGGAAAGGGAACAGGAAGAAGAGCTGTAGGTTACTTGCCCTGAGTCTCCAGTTTACTACCTATTTTAAGTGGTTTGGCTTGTTTATGGTGTAGCCTTCCAATGGATCTGCACCAAGTTAGGTTTCTTGGACAGTTTTAATCATCAAAATCCCTGGATCTAGAAGCAGCTGTAAAAGTTGCATGAATGTTTCACAGCAGAAGGCCAGCCCAGCCCAGCCCTGCCTCCCCACTGCCCCCAGATGCCACTGCTGGGCAGGCTGAGATCAGAGCTACGTGTAAGTGGTGGCACAGAGGGAATCGCTCCTCAGACCACCTCTCAAATTTCATAGAATCACAGGATCATTTAATGGCTTGGGTTTGAAGGCACCTAAAGGATAATCAGTTCCAACCCTGCCACATAGGCAGGGACACCTTCCACTAGACCAGGTTCCTCAAAGCCCCATCCAACCTGGCCTTGACTGGCCAGATTGTGGCCAGTGTGGCACTTCCAGGGATGGGGTATTCACAGCTTCTCTGGACAACCTGTGCCAGGGCCTCACCACCTTCACAGGGAAGAATTTCTTCTTAATAAGTAATATGAATCTATCCTCTTTCAGTGTGAAGACATTCTTCCTTGTCCTGTCACTCCATGCCCTTGTAAAAAGTCCCTCTCCAGCTCTCTTGGAGCTCATTTAGGTAGTGGAAGGGGCTTTAAGTTGTCCCTAGGGCTTTCTCCAGGTGAACGCTGCCAGCTCTCCCAGCCTGTCTCCAGAGCAGAGGGGCTCCAGCCCTTTGAGTGTCTTTGTGGTCTTCTCTGAGCTTGTTCCAGGAGCTGCACATCCCTCTTATGTTGGGGGCCTCAGAACTGGGCACACCACTCTAGCTGGGGTCTCACAAGAGAGGAGTAGAGGGAAAGAGTCACCTCCCTTGACCTGGTAGTGACTCTTCTTTTGATGTAGCCTGGGATACAATTGGCTTCCAGGGCTGCAAACAACATTGCCAGCTCATGTCCAGCCTCTCATCCACCAGTACCCCCAAGTCCTTCTTGGCAGGGCTACTTTCAGTCCACTCATCACCCAGCCTGTGCTTGGGAGTGGTCTAACCAATATTCAGGACCTTACACTTGGACTTGTTGAGCTTCATGAGCTTTGCATGGGCCCACCTCTCTACCCTGTAAAAGTCAATGTTGTAGGAACACAACACACAGTGGACTCTGAGGACACCTGGGGACAACCAAGGCAGGGCAGAAGCATTGTGGGGAAGAACAAGGCCCCACACAAGCTCTGGGAATTGTTTGTGTACTCACAGGCTGCACAGAGAAGGGATGAGTCAAAACCAGCCAGAAATTTTTCCTGAGGGCAGAGTTACGCAGGTTGGAGCCAGCAGCACAGTCCATGGACACGGAGAGGGAAGAAGTGACCATAGGGAGGGAAAGAGAAGTTTAGGACACATCGTCATGAAGAGGAGTCCTTGGACATCCAGCTGAGGATTCCTGGAACTACTTCTTTAGAACAGCAATTCAAACAACCAAACCAGAGTGATCCAGACTGATATATCACTTGCCTGCTCTGGTCCCATCCAGCACATAAACTGAATCTTCCACCTGCAGTGCTGCATTCCTGCTTTAGAAATCCTGGGGCCTTTAATCCCAGGGATCAGAAGAAGCCTTCATTGGGAAATGGGCATGGAACAAACCGGGAAATGAAAAGGCAGCAGTGCAGGAAATGAAAGCACAGCCCATATCATCAGCTGTGCTGGTTTGCATGTAAGATGAGCTTGTGGGGAAATTGTTACCTCTGGAAAGGCTGCCCCTGGTCCTGAGGCAGTGAAGGGTAGGTATAAAAGGCAGCCCCAGTCCCTGCTCTCTCATCCACTTCTCTTGCCTCCTTCTGCTTGGGAATCAGGTGAGTGTGAAGCCCCTTCTCCTCCTCTTCCAAACAGAGGTCTCCATCACTTGATGGACATCTCAGCTGATTTTGGCTTTCTCATATTTGGGGTTTGGAGTGCTTTTTCATGAGAGATGAAAGCGGGGAGGAGGTTGGCACAGAGAGAGACTGAGACACGACTGTGGTGGCTTTTGGTTTTTGCACCAGAAGAGAGCTTTGCTTCCTTGGGCCAGGCTCTTAGTAGCGCCCTGGCCAGATGAGGCGATGAAGACTGTGTGGCTGCTGGCACAGTCTCCAGCATCCACTCATGGATGGCCTTTGCAGTTTTGTGATGGGATAACCAGGTTGCTCTTCACCCATCCACCCTTGTGCTCTGTTTGCTCTCTGTCCCCTGTCCCAGGTGCAGCTCCAAGCTCAAGACATGTCCTGCTACACCCCGTGCCGGCCCTGCCAGCCCTGCGGCCCGACCCCGCTGGCCAACAGCTGCAATGAGCCCTGTGTCAGGCAGTGCCAGGACTCCACTGTGGTCATTGAGCCACCTGCTGTGGTGGTGACCCTGCCCGGGCCCATCCTCAGCTCCTTCCCACAGAACACCGTGGTGGGATCCTCCACCTCCGCTGCCGTTGGCAGCATCCTCAGCTGTGATGGAGTGCCCATCAACTCCGGGGGCTTTGACCTCTCCTGCATCACCAGGCGCTATGGTGGCAGGAGGGGCCTCCCCTGCTAAAACTGCTGAGCATATACAGGTCTTGGGCGGTTTCCCCAAGATCTCCAGACATCGAGAACAAAGAGAGAATCTTCAGGTCATTTCTTTCAGAGGAACTGAGCATCTTCAGCTCCTCCTAAGAACACTGGCAGGAAGGGGCCAGCCTTCCTGGGCGCTTTGAAAACATGGCCCATGTCTTTCCTTTGATATTTCTACATACCTCCTTTTCTCATTTTTCATTCTTTTCTTCTGCTTCCCTGGTCTGCAAGGCTCCTCCAAGCCAGCCTGCACTCTACAGCAAAGACAAATGGATGCCCTGCATGGACTTTGCCATGGCCAAGAGGTGAAGTCTCTTGTCCCTCCAGACCACTGCACTGAGTTCCTGTGCTTGTGGTGACCTTGATTCCATCTTTAAACTCAATAAAGATTTTTACATCTCAGCCTGAGTCTCCAGCTAGTCCTTTCCTCAGTGTATGGCCTCGGGGTAATGGTGTTGATCCTGTCAAGGTGACGATGTAGGGAGATCCTTCACCCAGAAAAATGTGAGACTGAGACATGCTGCAGAGGGTCCTCTTCAGGGCACTATCCTAGGGTAGTATGTAAAATATTCTCAGCTCCCCCAGACCAAGTGGCAATCAGCCCTTGCCTTGCAGTGTCTCTGCCCAGACATCTCCCCACAGGTCCTACAAGAACCTCTCCTGTCCTCAAGTGACAGCTAGAATTCCATGGAAGCTCATGGAGATAAGCCATCTTGTAGGATCACGGGAATGGGGCACCTCTTGCTCTGGTCAGTGCTGTGGCAGGGGAGACAGAAGATGTTCCCAAAGGAAAGCAGGACTGTGGATGGGTGGAATTGCCTCAGGGATGGCCCATGGCCTCATGTCCTCCTTCTCCTCCCCTCCATTGCCCAATCTGGGGCCTGGCCAGCACACATGGGCATGGGCAGCCAGGGTCAGTTCCCCTATCCAGCCCTACCACTGCTGAGGCTCATGGCAGGAGCCAGGTTTTGGCAGGCAGGCAGAGCTCATTCACAAGTCAGTACTGGGATTAACCACTCTGGGTCTCACGCTTGGGTCCCCGGGAATCCCACGGGCCAGGGTAGTCCAAGGACAGTAATTGGTGCCCACAGGCCCATCACTGACCGGTGGAGCTTTGTCACTCCCAAGCTCGGGTGGAGCAGCTATGTTCAAGCTCAGCACCTGCAAGGCCCTGCTGCGTCAGAACCAGCTCTGCTCCAGAAAAGCTCTGTGCAAGGTCATTCTAGACCCCTTGAGCTGTGGAGGTGACAATGGGACACACTCAGTCATATCTGTGAGCTCTCTGTGGCAGACAAGTTTTGTCCATGGGAGTCTCTCTTGCTTAGACTGATGCTCTTGGGCACTTTGATCAAAAGCACTTTAGAGACCTCAGTCAGGAAGAGCCTGATAAACAGAATCCATCCGCCCATCCTTCCATCCACAAGGGAGACTGTGTAAATTGCCCTTTCCCCATCTGGGAACTTGAAATGCAGGCAGATGTTCTGTTCTTCCAGAGGGTCAGGTTGTGAACTCCTTTGACAACATTGTCTCCTCTTGCCTGTTTGACCAGGGGTGAACTAGGATGACAGAGGTATCAAGGTGCTGAACACATCTTTCTTGGCAATAAGGTTGATGGAGGCTGTGTAAGCCAAGTTCTGCAGGCCTCAGTGCCACAAAATATCTGTACCCTGTGCACATCTGTTGGAAATCCCTGCTTTTTAGCCATCCCTTCACAATTTATAGATGGTGGGTAACAGGGCTGATGACAGCACAGCACAGAGTATCCCTACAGAAAGTTGGGCCTATCAGTGTCCCACATTCCTCTTCCTTTCCATGACATGCTCCTGGCATTCGTCTTCTCTGAGTTTCTGTGAAGGACATCTGGCTTCACTATTAATACAGACACTTAGGGATTTTTTCTGTGTACTACTCTGAAATTTCTTTTTCAACCTTTATTCTCAGCTTAAGGGATCGATTAAAAGGCTGGCACATCTCAGACATCTACAATTGCCTGGATGCAGGGAAGGAGCTGATGAAGGCAAAGCTAAATTTTGCATGAAGGGACCAACAGGGAAACTTCCCTGCACATTCTTCCTGCCGGAGATTTGGGGCAGAGCCGCTGAACCCCTCCACCTCTTTGGTCAATGGACATGTTCCTGTGATGCCCATGCCTCACCTTCTCCCCCACAACAGCTGCACTGCGGTCACTGGGTGAATTGGCAATATATGGGCAATCCAGTTCCTTGTTCTACCTGGCACTCCTGGAGTCCCCCATTCTCTCTCTGCTCCACAGTGCCCCAGGGCACTGGCACCACCCCTGCCCCAGGGATGCAATGGCACGTGCAGGGACCAGTCCAACCACAGAGCAAATGTTGGGGCATCCCCACCAACACTTGTCTCCCAGTAGCCCCAGCACCTCCCTGGCTTTCCCTGGGCAACATGCAGTGGCTCTGCCCTTTCACTCCAGTGCACAGTGATATCACGTACAGTGATTCTTAAATTCTGTATCTGTTTGGGCCAAGATCTCAGGTTGACACAGCACCAGGTCAATGAATCGCACAAATACATTTGACATCGGCTTTGGCATGAAGGAGAGCTGTGTCCCACACCTGAAAGCACCAGCAATTCACTGGAAGTAGATTTATTTGGACATGGCCTGCACAAGGAGGGTAGGATTCCTTATCCTTTCTCCAGATCCATAAAGCCAACCCCATCCTTTCAAACTCTCTAGCAGTTGTGCCCTGGCCTGGTGAGGCAGGCAGAGGAGGACTGCCCACCATGCTGAGGCAGTCCCAGTGCTGGTACACTGAAATGAACTAAGGATCTTAATTGGTGGGAAACGGTCCTTGTTGGGGCTTGGTATCAGCAGCAGTGGAGTGTGAGCTTCATAAGAACAGAAGGAGGGTTCAGCAAACAGGGGTTGGATTACAGTGCCTCTTGGAGAGATTTCTAGGAGGCTGATGCCATTGCCTTTCAACTGCACTTGAGCTCCTGCTGATGCTGGGAAAATGCTGCTTTGCAGAGCTCATGAACTGAGCCATGGAGAGTGCCCCTGCCATGAGCAACACAGTCTGTTTGTGAGGAGAGACACAAAAAGACATAAGCTCTTGTAGACCTGTCAAATATTTGGTACATTCATACAAGTCTGGCTGCACACAAATCACCCAAGACATGGACACATGTAGGAACACAGCCTACTGTGAACTCTGCTGAGGACACCTGGGGACAACCAAGGCAGGGTTGGAGCATTGTGGGGAAGGACAAGGCCCCAGGCAAGCCCATGGCAATGTTTATGTACTCACCAGAGAGTGGATAAGTCAAAACAAGCCTGAAATTTTTCCTGAGGGCAGTGTTAGGCAGGACAGAGTCAAAACCAGCAGCCCAATGCACACATGTGGAGATAACACAGGATCACGCATCAGGGTGAGCTGAGGAGGGAGGGATAGAGAAGGACATGGACCATCTTCATGCACAGAAGTCCTTGGGCATCCAGTTGCAGACTGGATTTTCAAAGAGGGGAAACAAAAGACATGGGGAACTACAGACTGGTGAACCCCACCTCTGTGCCTGGAAAGATCATGGAGCAGATCCTCATGGAAGCAATTTTAAATCACATACAAGACAAGGAGGTGATCCACAACAGCCAGCAAAGCTTCTCTGAGGGCAACTCGTGTCTGAGCAACCAGGTGGCTTTCTATGGTGGAGGGACTGAAACAGTCAACAAAGGAAGACTGACCAATGTCCTCTGTCTGAACTTCTGTCCGGTCTTTGAAATGGTCCCACACAACATCCTTATCTCCGAATTGGAGAGACATGGATTTGAAGGGTGTACTATTATGAATATGGAAATGGCTGGATGGACATAGACAGGGAGTTTTGGTCAATGGCTCTATGGTCAGGTGGAGGTCAATCATGAGAGATGTCTCTCAGGGCTCTGTCTTGAGACCAGTGCTTTTTAATATTTTTCTTCAATGACAGAGACATGAGATTGAGTGCCTCCTCAGCACATTTGCAGATGACATGAAGTTGAGCAGTACAGATGACACTACAGAAGGATAGGGCTATCCAGGGGGACCTGGACAAACTTGAGAAATGAGCACATGAAAACCTCATGAAAATTAAGAAATTCAATGCAAGGTGCAGCACTTATATCAGGACAATCCCAGACATGAGTACAGACTGGGACATGAGTCACATTCACATTAAGAGCAGTCCTGTGGTGTTCTGGTAGATGAAAAGATGTACACGAGCCAACAGTTCGCATTTGCAGCCCACAAAGCCAACTGCATCCTCTGCTGCATCAGAAAAGGTGTGACTGGCAGGCTGAGGGAAGTGAATCTTTGCATCTATTCTGCCCTCATGAGACCCCACCTGGAGTACTGTGTCCAGACCTGGAGTCTTCAGCAGAAGAAAGATGTGTACCTGTTAGATCAGGTCCAAAGGAGGCCACAAAGATGCTCAGTGGGCTGGAGCAACTCTCCTTTGAAGACAGGTTGAGAGACTTGAGGTTATTAGCATGGAGAATAGAAGGCTCTGGGTAGATCTCATTGAAGCCTTTCAGGATGCGATGGAGAGCAACTTTTTACAGAGGCAGATACTGATAGGACAACTAGGGGAACAGTTTGAAATAAAAGAGGAAAGATTTAGATTAGATGTTAGGAATAAATTCTTACACAGACGGTGGTGAGACAATGGAACCATTGACCTAGGGAAGCTGTGGCTGCCCCATTCCTGAAAGAGTTCAAGGCCACCTTGGATGGGGCCCTGGGCAGCCTGATCTAGTGTGTGGCATCCTTGTCCATGATGAGGGAGTTCCTTCTAACCCAAGTCATTCTATGATTACATGATTCTATGACTGCTGCAGATTCTGTCTGAAAACAACACTTCAAACAACCCCACCAGAGTGATGAGGATAGGATCACTTGCCTGCTCTGGTCCCATCCAGCACATAAACTGAATCTTCCACCTGCAGTGCTGCATTCCTGCTTTAGAAATCCTGGGGCCTTTAATCCCAGGGATCAGAAGAAGCCTTCATTGGGAAATGGGCATGGAACAAACCGGGAAATGAAAAGGCAGCAGTGCAGGAAATGAAAGCACAGCCCATATCATCAGCTGTGCTGGTTTGCATGTAAGATGAGCTTGTGGGGAAATTGTTACCTCTGGAAAGGCTGCCCCTGGTCCTGAGGCAGTGAAGGGTAGGTATAAAAGGCAGCCCCAGTCCCTGCTCTCTCATCCACTTCTCTTGCCTCCTTCTGCTTGGGAATCAGGTGAGTGTGAAGCCCCTTCTCCTCCTCTTCCAAACAGAGGTCTCCATCACTTGATGGACATCTCAGCTGATTTTGGCTTTCTCATATTTGGGGTTTGGAGTGCTTTTTCATGAGAGATGAAAGCGGGGAGGAGGTTGGCACAGAGAGAGACTGAGACACGACTGTGGTGGCTTTTGGTTTTTGCACCAGAAGAGAGCTTTGCTTCCTTGGGCCAGGCTCTTAGTAGCGCCCTGGCCAGATGAGGCGATGAAGACTGTGTGGCTGCTGGCACAGTCTCCAGCATCCACTCATGGATGGCCTTTGCAGTTTTGTGATGGGATAACCAGGCTGCTCTTCACCCATCCACCCTTGTGCTCTGTTTGCTCTCTGTCCCCTGTCCCAGGTGCAGCTCCAAGCTCAAGACATGTCCTGCTACACCCCGTGCCGGCCCTGCCAGCCCTGCGGCCCGACCCCGCTGGCCAACAGCTGCAATGAGCCCTGTGTCAGGCAGTGCCAGGACTCCACTGTGGTCATCCAGCCCTCCCCCGTGGTGGTGACCCTGCCCGGGCCCATCCTCAGCTCCTTCCCACAGAACACCGTGGTGGGATCCTCCACCTCCGCTGCCGTTGGCAGCATCCTCAGCTGTGATGGAGTGCCCATCAACTCCGGGGGCTTTGACCTCTCCTGCATCACCAGGCGCTATGGTGGCAGGAGGGGCCTCCCCTGCTAAAGATACTGGGAAAGCCCTGATGAGACATCTTGAGAAATTCAGAACATGGTGTCAGGCAGAGGATCTAGGCTTTGGGTGCTGTTTGCAGGATAGCTGACCGAACTTGCCTTTCTCTCCCTTTTCATTGTTTGCATCGGTGCTGTAATGTTCTCCAAATGCCAGTTTGGTGGGGACCATCTGTTTTCTCCCCCCTTTTTTGGACAGGTGGACAAATATCATGCAGGAACTATTCCACAGCCAAGGAACATAGGCTCCCTGCTGCCCTTGGTACTCCCTGCACCTCTGATCTGCGCTTGCAGTAACCTTGGTTCTGTCTTTTTTTTCAATAAAATTCTGCTGCATTCAAGTCTGGCCTCCATGTGGTTCTTTCCTCTTGTTATACTCCTGAATGCCAAAGGAGAAAGGTGTTGCTCAGTGGTGGAAGGGGCTGAGCATATAAGAGACCCTTACCTATTCACAGAGGAATGGCCTTTTGGGGCACCATGGAGGCGCAGATCTTTAAGGAACCATCCCTTGGAGGAAGACATCCCTGGTTGCTCTGCTTCCAGACATCATCAAGCCTTGTTTTGATGTGTCTCTCCCCATAAATTCCCAGGAAACTGGGAAACTCTGAAGCATTAGCAGCCCCATGAGCTCTTCAGGAAGAGTGTTCCTCTTGTTATGGCCAGAGCTGCACTGGGGGGGTGAGTGTGAGGGTTTTGGACACAGTCTGCTCTGCAGAATATCAGGAGTTGGAATTTGAGGAACAGCCTTCATGTTGGACCGTGACTTCTACTCCATCTTCCTCTTCCCTCCATGACCCAATAAAAAGTGAGCACAAATATCTATTGAGCACTTTCTTTTCCGTATGCCGTGTTCCTTTAGCTCAGGACATATTGATTCCAAGGTCTCAGCCTCTGCCTGACACAGTACCAGGCTCATGGGCTGCACTGGTACATTTGGCATTGGCTTGGACATGAGGCAGGGACTCGTCTCACACCAGACAGCACTGACACTGCAGCGAATGCAAACTCACTTGGGCATAGCCTGGATGAATCTGGCAGAACTTCTTAGCCTTTCTCACTGTCCACAGAACAAAACTCACACTTTTGAAGTCCCTAGACTGGGGGAGAGCCATGTCCTGGTCTGGAGAAGCAGGGAGCGGGGACTGCAAGCCATGCTTAGCATTCCCAATATTGTTTACACTGAATTAATCTAAGGGTCCAAAACTGTGTGAAAACATCCTTGCTGGGGCCTGGAATCATCATCATCAGACTGTGAGTTTTGAAGGAGTAGGAAAAGGAGGACTGAAGATACAGAAGCTTGCATTTCAGTGCCTGTGGTGAGGACAATTATCTGCCAGGTTTGTTCTCTTGTTCAGCTGCACTGAAGTTCCCCCTGGCTCTGGCTGCTCTGTGGAGCTTATTGTCAGAGCAGTGGAGAGTGACACTTCCATGAGTAGAGCAATCTCTCACGAGGAGGGACACATATACATGCACACTTGTGCACACCAAAGTGGAATCATGCACAAATTTTTGCACCCGTGTACATTCACACAATCCCAGCTGCACACAGGACACAGAAAGTCACAGACAGCACAGCTTCTGACAGGAAAGTCCTGCTTGTCAAATCTGATTTCATTCTACGACAAGGTGACCCACCTGGTTGATCAATGGAAGCCCTTTGATGTAATCTTTTTGGATTTCAGTAAAGCTTTTGATACTGTCTCTCCCAGGATCCCTCTGGACAAACTGTCCAGCTCAGAGCTGGATAAACACATCATGTGGTGGGTGAGCAATTCGCTCATGGGGTGAGCACAGAGGGTGGAAGTGACTGGGGTGACATCAGACGGGCACCTGTCACTGGTGGGGCTCCACAGGGCTCCATCTTGGGCCCTGTGCTCTTCAGCATCTTCATCAATGACTTGGACACAGGACTGGAAGGGACATTGAGTAAGTTTGCAGATGACAGTAAATTAACAGACAGACAATAAACAGTAAAAGTTGTTGACTCCCTTAAAGGCAGGGAGGCCCTGCAGAGAGATTTCGATAGATCAGAGGACTGGGAATCACCAAGCATAGGAAGTTCAACAAGGGGAAGTGCCAGATCTTCCCCTGGGATGGGGCAACCCTGGATCTATGGACGGACTGAGAATGAGATGCTGGAGAGCAGTGCCAGGAAAGGGCCCTGGGGGTGCTGGTGGGTGCCAGTTGGCCATGAGTCAGCAGTGCCCTGGTAGCCAGGAGGGCCAACCCTGTCCTGGGGGCATCAGGCCCAGCAGCGCTGGCTGGGCCAGGGAGGGGATTGTCCCACTCTGCTCTGCCCTGGGGCGGCCTCACCTCAATATTGGGGCAGTTTGGAGGGACACAATGGAAGGAAGGGATTGAGCTGTTAGAGAGTGTCCAAAGGAGGCCACGAGGATGGGGAAGGGTCTTGAGGGGAAGGTGTGTGAGGACACTGAGGGCACTCGGTGTGTTCAGTTGGAGAAGAGGAGACTGAGGGGAGACCTCATTGCAGTTCCAGCTTCCTGGGGAGGGGCAGAGAAGGGGTAGACCCTGAACTCTGTTCTGTGGGGACCAGGGACAGGATCCCAGGGAATGGCTTGCAGTTGTGTCAGGCAGGTTTAGATTGGATATTAGAAAAAGCTTCTTCTCCCACAGGATGGTTGGGCACAGCCTCAATCTGACAGAGTTCAATAAGTGTTTAGATGATACTTGCAGGCACATGGTGTGCAGGGCTAAGAGTTGGACTCCGTGATCCTTGTGGATCCCTTCCAACTCAGAATATTCTGTGAAAGAATCACAGTGAACTGTGGCCTCTTCAGTAGACAAGTGGAGATGATAGTGGCAGGGCTAGAGCATTCTGAAGAAGAACAAGGCATGGGCCTCACAGACCTCTCAGGTGCAGAATAAGAGAAGTATGAGAAACGGTCCAGCAGAATTTTTCTGGGTTCATTTTTAGGCAGGATAGAGCAAAATCCAGGAGCTGAGCCACTTCTTGCCAACAGGAGCACCAAAGACCCCCAAAGCAGTGATCCAGACTGACATAATTTGCTTTTACTAGACTCTTCCAGCATGTGAGATGAGTCCTCTGAGTCATCTGCCTACACTGATGTGTTTTGCTCCAGAAGGGCTTGGGCCTCTCATCTTGTCACACAAAAAAGCAAAGAAAAGCGTTCACAAGGAAATGTGCCTGAAACAAAGCAGGAAATGAAACACAGACATTCAGGAAGCCAAGCCACAAACCATAGAATTAAATGGGATGTTTTGCATATTAAATGGGATGTTTTGCAATCAAGATGAGTTTCTCAGAAAATGATCATGTCTACCAGGGATGCCTCTGGCAGCTTGGGGAAGTAAAGGTCCATAATAAATGCTTGCTTGCTCAGCTTCTCCACTTCTCTCGCCTCCTTTTCCTCAGGAATCAGGTAAGTCTGAAGCCCCTTCTCCTTCTCTGCTTTCTCTAAAGGAGATCTCACCTCCATGGACCTCTCAATTGATTCCAGCTCTCTTCTAGGATGGCTCTTGGGATTGCTTTTCATGGGAGAGAGAAGTAGGGAGAAGAAATGGAGGAAGGCTGGGACTTGTGTGCAGGTGGCATCTGCACTCGGGGGCTGAGCAGTAGCTGCATAGGAGCTGGGGGCTCTTTTTGGGCCCTGGCAGGATGAGGGCAATAAGCCCTCGTAGATCTCTGCACAGCCTCCACCTCCTGGCTTGTCTTGTGTCTTGTCTCCCTCATGGTGTGGTGACAAGCTGCTCCTCACACATCCCCATTTTTTGCTTCTCCCTGCCCTCTCTCCAGGTGCCCTTTGTGCCCCAAGACATGTCCTGCACAGAGCTGTCCCTGCGGCCCGACCCCCTGGCCAACAGCTGCAATGAGTGCTGTGTCAGGCAGTGCCAGGACTCCGTCGTTGCCATCCAGCCCTCCCCTGTGGTGGTGACCCTGCCCGGGCCCATCCTCAGCTCCTTCCCACAGAACACCGTGGTGGGATCCTCCACCTCCGCTGCCGTTGGCAGCATCCTCAGCTGTGACGGAGTGCCCATCAACTCCGGGGGCTTTGACCTCTCCTGCATCACCAACTGCTACCGTGGCAGATGTCCCCCCTGCTAAAGCCCCTGGCAACCTTGTTCAACAACCTCCAAGACATCCAATTCTGGTGCTGGACTGAAGACAGGTTGGCTGCCATATGCCCACCAAGATGCTCTACCACTGCCCTCCACAACTAGACAGGGGGAGAAAATATGATGAAGGGCTCATGGGTTGAGAGAAGGACAGTGAGAGATCACCTAGACTCTACCATTATATGCAAAGTAGACTCCAGGAAAATAATTAAATTTATTTCTAATCAAAATCAGAGCAGGATAATATAAAATAAGGACAAATCTAAAACCACATTCTTCCCACCCCTCCCTTCTTCCTAATCTCAGCCTCACTCCTGACTTCTCTACCTTCTCCCACTGAGTGGCACAGGGGGACAAGGTGTTGCAGTGTGTTGTCTCTGCTGCTCCTTCCTCCTCACGCTCTTTCCCAGCTCTAGCATGGGAAGATTCCTTTACAAACTTCTCTAACATGGGACCTTCCCACAGGCTGCAATTCTTCACAAACTGCTCCAGCACTGATCCTTTCCACAGGGCGCAACCTGTCAAGAACAGACTGGGTTCCAGTGTGGCTCCTCCACAGGTCCTACCAGCAAACCCGCTCCAGCAAAGCCTTTTCTCCATAGGGCCACACTTCCTGCCAGGAACCTATTCCAGATCTCCATGGTGTCACAGCTTCCTTCAGGGTACATCCATCTGCTCTGTCATGAGGTGGATACCTGCTCTACTGTGTACCTCCATGGGTTGCAGGGAAATCTCTGCTCCAATGCCTGGGGCTCTCGTGCCACATCCTTCTTCACTGACCTTGGTGTCTGCACAGCTGTTTTCTCTAATTATTCCACCCTTCTCTCCCAGTTGCTGTTGCACAGCAGTTTTTTACCTCTTCTTAAAATTATATCAGGGAAGCAGTACCAATATCACAGC